GCGGCGGGGAAGGAGGGTGGCTATCACGTGGCGTTGCTGTTCTTCGTCGCTAGGTCAGTCAGTCAGTCGACAAAACGCAATCAAGACATGTCATGTGCGCACATCTGCATCGTGTGTGTGTGTGTGTATCAGGGGCGACTGTGGGTCGTTTGACGCGTCCCTTCACTGCGACCCGGCCTACCACGCCCTGCTGCACGAGGCGGCCACGCTGCCCAACCTGCACATCCTGCCGTATTCTTTCGAGTACGTCTTTGACGACCCTGATGATGCCCATATTGTCTACAGGGGGCCGGTGCCATTCAGAGGCGGCGTATGATGGGATATATAGTTTCGGGCGTAGCGTGCCTTGCCCATGAGTGTTGGTTGCTAGCTGAGGCGGGCGGACCGGAGAAAGGCGACATTCATGTAATCCAATGGATTGGATGCATCAATGTGCTGTTTGCTACGCAACGAATTGGGCCCCCACACAGATGTTGACAAGTCCAACCAACAGAAGCCAGCCAAAGAGGGCGACGCACGCACACTACATCTCTCCTCGCCCATGCCATCCACCCTGTATGTTTGTATGTGTGACCACTGATGAGTGAGTGCCTTTGTACACACAGAAGTAGTCAGTGAATGAGACAGGCAAGGAAGGAAAGAAGGAGGCTCCACTCACTCAGGATGGGACAAGTGCGTTCGTCGATGCATCTGATCGGCATATGCTCTCTGCCTTCTTCTCACTGCCCACGCTCAGGAAAGGAGACGCTGGCGTGAGAGGCCAACATCGCCACGCCTGCGCGGAGGCTTGCATGAGACGACAGAGAGACACCACACGTCCGCGTGGACACTCAACGGACATTCACACGGCACGACCCATGACACGACACACGGCAAGGCAAGGCAAGGCAAGGCAAGCAGATACATTACACCACCTCAAAAAGACCACTCACTCACTCAACTCAGCAACGACCGATAAAAAGACGTCTGCCCCCCGTTCATCTGCCTCACTCACTCGACCCCACACACCATGAATGAATGGACCCCTTTAACAGGTGTCTGTCTTGAACCTTCATTTGACGAGTGAAGCGAGAATGCGTCGTGGCGGTACGAACGACCTCCTGGCGTGCATCACCGCATAGTTGTCCACCAGCAACACATCACCTAAAAACAGAGACACAAACAAATGTGTGTGCGGTGCGCGACGTGCTTGGCCGCTGGTGAGTGCCTTGGGTTGGTGGCGCAGTATGTTTGTTACCCTTGTGCCACTTGAAGGCCACAGCCTCCTCGTCGGCCACCTGTGCGATGAAATTCATGACCTCGCTGGGGAGGGGCTCGCCGTCGCCAAACAACACTGCCTGCGCACCGCAACACATACACGGGTCGGGTAGAGAGAAACAGATGGGCATGTGCGGTGCACTGTTTGTCTGGCCGCGTCTGTGACATGACAGCGTGCGGTGCGCTGCAATATATGACCTTTTGAGGGTCGTTTCTCTTGTCTTTCCATCCGGTGAATGCGGCGATCATTTGGTTGAAGAACTCCGTCTCATCGCCCTTCTCGGGATGAGCCTTGACCGCAGACAGCATCGGAGTGATCTAAACGCACACACAGCCAGAGCAGTGAATGACCTACCTGCCGCTGTATCGAGTGACTCGTGTCCTGTTTGCCCTCACCGTTTTCAGATCTCCTCCTGCCAGCCACTCCCTGACACACAGACACATAGACAGACAGAGAGAGATCACTCCTCCCTCCGGCCACCCCTTTTTTCCTTCCCCCATCATATTGATCAGCCCCACCAAGTGTAACCGTCCTCCTTCATCTTTGCCTCGGCCTCTTCTCTGGTGGCCACCCTGAAGGTGCTCTTCCACGAGCGGCCCAGGGCAGACAGCTCGTCGTCCTCCTCGGGGGCCACACGCACATACTTGACGCCCTTCTCCTCCAACTTGGACAGAAACTGACAAACGGACACACACACACACAGACAGACAGACAGACAGACACATACATACATAAATACATACATACATACAGGCGCTCGAAATGAGTGGCCAGCCAACATCAATACATCCATCGGATTCCATCCATCCATCCACCCATGACGTGTCGACGTGTGACGTACGTCTGGGTATTTGTCTTTGATCCGCCGGTAGACCGCATGCGACAAGACAATGGGAGCTGACACAGACAGACAGACAGACAATGGGACATCCGCTGTGTCATTCATGGGATGTGATGTCGTGTGTTGTGCTGTCATGTGGGCCTGCTCACTCTCGCCGCCCTCTGCCGATGGCAGGTCGCAGTAGAAGAGCAGCTTGCTGGGGTACGCGGGCAGCTGAGCCATCTGCACCAACCAATGAACGACCACAGCACAGCCATGGGCAGAACATGAAAGAATGCCGGGTGCCGATGCATTCACTTGGCACTCAAGTGTCTGTCTGGCTGGCTGGCTGGCCGGCCGGATCCCTCATTCTTGCAGAATTCAATTTGTCTGTCAGGGTCGGCCGATGACCGACCAAGTCAGACCTTGATAGCGTATTGGTTTCTTAATCATCAGGTTGCCTCAGCTGGCTGGCCGGCTGGCTGGCTGGCTGGCTGGCTGGCATCCATCCATCCATTCATTCGGTCCGTCGACCCACCCACCTCATGGTGCCAGGGGATCTTCTCTGATGGCGGGGATTCATTGGCCGTGAACACTATGTCACCCACGATGTTGCGACGCACCGCCTGCACACACCAACCATAACACACACACGAATGATCTGATCTACTGCCCACCAAACACGGCACTGCTGTACTGCGGTAATGAATAGCTTCTGCTCACATTGCCGCCGATGTAGGGGAAGTTTTCCCGCCCCAGCGCCAGGACAAACTCGGCAAAGTCTTCGGGCGACGAGATCGGGAAACTGCGGAATAGCAACGCCTGACAAACACCGCCCACACAGAACCCGGCAGGCACGTGAGTCGAAACGAGAGGAGGAATGTCGACAGATGGTGAGCTGTGGTTTCACTCACCCCGTGTGTGGTGAGCCTTTGGAAGATGCCCTGCCTGTTGGTGGTCAGCCAGGCCTTGACGTCCGCGATGGTCTTGAGCTCACCCTCCCTCGGCTTGAGAGTCAGTGGGAAGCTGTGCTCCTCACTCAACCCCTTCCTCTGCTCGGGGATGCTGATCGTCTCGACCTCCATGATACGTGTAGGCCACCTCCCTGAGCCTCTCCTTTCCTCCTTCAATGTTTGCAAGCTCAAGCGGGCCTGCAAGTCTAGCTCGCAATCGCTGACAACTTCGAGAATCTCCGCTTTGCGCTTGCTGCCGGCTGCCGTGGGTGGCTGCCCCGTCCCATGGAGCGAAATCGGCGTGAAAGATCCGATCCCGCAGGCTTGTGTTGCGCGCGTTGAGTTGGGTAGGTATCAGGCTGGCTCACTTGTCTGTGGAGGACCCACCTGCCGGTGGGTGGGTGGGCCTCTTCTGCGAGAGGCTCGGACGGGTCCTGCGGCTGTCGGCGCTGTCCAGGGAAAACAGAAACAGGGCAGTCTCGTGGCTCTACATCTCCCCTGAGGACACGCCGGGGGGCATGACCACCAAAGTCACCTTTATGGTCAGTAAACCATGGGCAAGGCAGGGTCACGGCACGCGACTCAATCGGCAGCTCAAAAGACGCGGTCTTGGCCCTCGGTGATAGTGTATGTGTGTGTTGCTTGTTTAGGTGCATTGCGACACCTGCTTTGGCGAAAGTGTCAAGCTGGTCGGCAACCATTCATCCATCGGAGACTGGGATGTAAGCTAAGCGCTCCGCTCCGCTCACAGACAGACAGACAGACACATACATGTCAGTCAGGCTGGCGATGCGATGCGCGTGCATCTGGCTGTCTGTCTGTCTGTCTGTCTGTCCCTCTGTCTGTGTTGTGTGTGTGCAGCCTGCGAGCGGCATCCCTCTGGCCACCGATGACGTCCTCTATCCCATTTGGGTGTCAGCTCCAGTAGAGGTACGCCAGGCCAGCCAGACCAGACCGGCTCAATATATCACGCAAATGAACGCACTACTTTGGCTTTGTTGTTTCTTCTTTTGCCTGGCCCATTCATTGCTCACGACCCGCAGCTGCCAAGAGATGGATACATCGTAAGCAACACAACGCAGACATGAAGGAGACGGCCAGACACGAACCCATTCTCGACCGCCCCTCTGTGTGTGTGTGTGTGTCACTATCATTAATGCAGGAGTACAAGTACGTCAAGTACGGTGAGCACCACACGAGGTGGGAGGAGGGCTTCGAGGGCAACCGCAGCCTGCAGGTCCCCACCGACACCTCCTCCCTCGAGGCTCATCTCGCCTCATTCGTGGTGGTCAACGACGACAAGTTCGACGCCATCCCCATTCGGGCGCGGCACCCGGAGATGATCACCTACGACGCCAAACGGAAGCTGGGGGCCTTTGTGGGGCGGTGGGGCATCATGAAGGAGAGGTCAGACGCTATCGGACCCCTACTCGAAATCATGGGACTCGACTGGTAAGTGAGTGGCCACATGACATCCACATCAGATAGATAGATAGCCTAGCGGTCGGTGTCTTGAGGCCAAGAGCCACACACACACACACACACGGATCCTCCCTTCCCCCTGTGTGTGTGCAGGTTTGTGCGGAATGCGATAGACAATGCGGAGAGCCTGACGGACACGGTGCGTGTGGTGGGCAGCACATTGGTCAGCAAGCTGTCGACGGCGGTGGGCACACATCGGGAGGAGATCTACACCAACGGCGACCCTCAAGAGATCGAGGAGATGGGAAAGGCTACCGTCTATCAGGTAAAACCTCGATCGGACGGACGGCACCGATGGATGACATTCAGCCAAGAGCTCTGTCTGTCTGTCATGCCTTGCAGGCCAAGAGCCGTGTGGAGGACATTCTGCCGCCCAAGGCGCTGCTGCCCGTTGCGAGCCACCACCGGCCAGAGGTGGTCGTGACGACCACCCACCCCCACACGATGTCTCGTGACGCAGACGAGGTGGGGTCGAGGGCGTCTACGTGTGTGGGTGGGGGGCTGCTGGAGTTCCCCTACAACTTTCGGGTGGTCACCACCAAGCAGTGCTCCATGAAGGGCACCGTGGTGGAGACCCGACAGCTCTGCGAAGAGGAAAAGGGTCCCGTCATGCACATCAATGTAAGTCAGTGGAGTGACCAAACACACACACACACACACACACATCCACCAGGCAGGCAGGCACACCTCTCTCGCTGAGTGCATGGTTGTGGTTGTGGTTGTGGTTGTGTGTGCCATCAGTTGAAGTTCACTCGTTTGGGTGACAAGGAGCCCGAATTGGAGCTCGACAGGTACTGGGAGAGATTGCATGACAATGATTGACTAACCTACGGGTTTTGCGAGCGATCGAGCGATTCGATGGAGTGAGTGAGTGACCACGTGATGGGTGGAAGGGCGAGGGAGGGAGGGAGTCCTGTTGGGAGTGATTTTTTCCTGCACCTCTTCCTTCCTTCATTCATTCTGGGGCGTCGTGAGCTGAGCTCGTGTTTGGCACTTTTTGCAGCTTTGGGGCATGGCATAGTACGTGACGTGACGTCCATTGATCGATCGATACACGCAATGCAGAACAGAGAGAAACATGGTTTTGTTTCCACATCCTGTCTGTCGGTATCGCATCCTCCACTCATCCATCCACTCATCCATCCGTCCATCCTGTCAGTCAGTCCAGGTTTTGCTGCCTTGTCGCCTCCCCTGCTACCTGCCTGCCTGCCTGCCTGCCTGTGCTGGCTGGCGATACATCACACGAACGCATGTCATTCATGCGTGAGTCACCCACCCACCCACCCACCTGCCACCTACCTACCTACCTACCTGCATGAGGCGTGCGTGGTGTGTGTGTGATGGCCAAACCTTTATTTATGCGTCCGTGTCGTGTCGTGTATATTCTTGACGCATCGCATGGACAGTCCCGACCAGGCAGTCAGTCAGTGAGTCAGTCGTCATGACCTACCTGCCTACCTACCTTATATCAACCAACCAACCAACCAACCACCGTTTTTCGTGCTAGCTACAGGCCTTGCTATGCTACTACTCTGTCTACCTGCATTCCAACTTTCTGTCCGTGGGCGTATGTGATGTGATGTGATGTGAGCTGTTTGTTCCATAGGATGTGATGTGATGTATGCTGCTGTGGATGTTGATGTCAGGCTATGCTGTATACTGTCTGTCTGTCTGCGCGAGTGCCTGCCGCCCGCCTGCCTGCCTATATGCTTTGCACTCCCTTTATATATCCCCATTGATTGATTGATGCCTTTGTCGTGTTGTGGACGTCCGTGTGTTGTGTGACGGTTGTGTGTGTGTTTGTTTTGTGTCTGTCTTGTTTGTTTCCACGTAGGAGCTGACTCAGTCTTATTATTTTCGTGTGCACGCAAAGCGACTGTCACAATGATTACATACAACAACACGGGCCTTCCGCGCGGGTGGCAAGGGACTGACCTTCATAAAGGCAATGCATATTAACCGATGAAGCTCGCATCTGCGACTTACGGTTCGCTATAGGGGGGGGAAACTGTCATTAAGCGTAACACTCGTCTGTGTGTCCGTGATACTCATACAAATACAGTCCCATCAGCACGCAGAGTCAAACAGGCTCAAGGGGAGGAGGGATCAATCCCCGCCCCATCAGCACACCCCAGTCCCGCAAACCCTCCCCTCCCTCCCCCACGCAGACAGAAGCTAGTCGCACGCGCGAGGGCGATAGACAAGCGAGAGCGAATCCATCCAGACACATGACTGAACCCCCGACCCTTCCACCCCTCCTTCTCCAACAGCGCATGAGCCATGTGGGCGATGAACACGTTGGCATCGTGTCCCCACACACACGGTTCGCTATTCATGCGTCGTGATGTTGACGATAGCCAGAGGACTCTCCTCTTCCGTAGCTGAGAGATCACCTGAAGAAATCAAAACAACTGGCGTCGTGGCTGCGTTCGTTCATGCCACCCGGAGGGAGGAGGGCATGAGCTCCCCCGCCAAGAGGATCAGCGTGACACTGCGAGGGCAGGCGGGGCCGCAGAAACAGGTCAGGAAACAGATAGATGACGGCCGCCATCTGTGCCGGACGTCTCTCTCCCATCCCCTGTCTGTTGAGCTGATGCTTGGCCTGCCTGCCTTGTGTGTGTATACAGGTGGTGACGGCCTCTATCGATGAGCTGAGGGCGAAGCTGTTGGCGAAATTCGGTCTCTCTCACCGGTCCATCCAAGAGGCGCGGCTGTACGTCGATGAGGTACAGTAAGCGAATACATATGATGAATGAATGTGTCACTCAGTCAGTCAGGGGTGGGTGGATGGATGTGTGTGCGGGTGTGTTGACACCGTCCCTGTATGTATGTGTATGTGTGTGTGTCTGTAGGATCTGATTGAGGATTGTGATGACTTGGTGGATGGAGATAAGGTGGTCCTGGACCTCTCGCCACGGAGCTCGGGGGCAGACAGGACCGCTGCCCCGGCACCACCACCAGCACTCCCACCAGCACCCACTCCATCCGCCGCCCCTGGACAGCAAGCGCGGCCACGAGTGCTTCCGCAGCTCACACAGCAGCCCTTCCAGCAGCAGCCCCAGCAGCCAGCTGGGCCCCAGCAGCAGGAGCGAGGTCGGCAGGCATCGCAGCAGCGTGTGAGCAACGGCTCTTCTGTCGACCACCAGCACGAGCAGGAGTGCCGCTCTGACGAGCGGTCGGAGGAAGACCGCACATCGCACACGAGCGAGGACAGTGAGTTGGGGCGGGCGCTGGCGGAGGTGCAGAGGCTGAGGGATCGGGGCAACGCCGCATTCAACCGAGGCGATGCGGGGCTTGCTGAGGCTATCGAGGCCTACTCGCTCGCCATCGATAAGGCAAGTGGATGGGTGGTTCGTTCGTGACGAGGGAGGTGATGTATAGGATTGACTGGGCTGCTGTGGTATGTGTGTGTGTGTCTGTGTGTGTCTGTGTGTGTATGGGATGGGTGTTCAGCTTAGTATTCGCAGCCCGGTAGGCTATCGGTTGAGATCGCGGTCGGACTCCTCGTCTGGCGCGCAGCAAATCGCCGCCACAATGGCTCCGCTGTACGGCAACAGGTACGCACAGTGGCACCCACACCAAACCGACAACACACACGCAGCCTGGAGCCTGGGAGAGTGATGTGTGTGCACAGGGCCTTGATGCACTTCAAGGCAGGTGAGTACGAGAAGACGATCGAGGACGCCAACACGGCTCTGCAGTTCAAACGTGACTACGCCCCGGTCGGTCGGCGAATAGGCACATGGCCCGCCGCAGATACACACCGCTGTCACTGACTGGCGTGCACTCTCCCCCTCTCTCTCTCTTTCTCTCTCTCTCTGTCCCCCAGGCGTATTTGCGTCTGTGGGGTGCGTTCGAGAAGCTGGGCCGATTTGGTGAGGCGGCGGAGAGCCTGAGAAAGGTGCTCGAACTCGAGCCCAGACACAGGACAAACCAGTAGGCGACACACATGGACGGACGGACGCACGGATGCAAATGTGTCCATCATTCGGTGGTCATTCACGTTACAGACACCGAGAAACCTTGAATCGCCTGCTGGCGGCGGCTGCCCGCCAGAGTGCCGCAGCACCAGCTGCTGCCGCACCCGCAGCTGCTGCTGCAGCAGCAGCAGCAGCAGCAGCGCCCAAGGCTCCCCCCGTGGCCACCACGCCTCTCCGCCCCCCTCCCCCTGCAATCATCGCTCGCCACTTTGCCCGGACCAACGATGCTCAAAGTGCTTCTCCCACTCCCCCACCAGATCACCGGGCGGCAGGTAATGTCAACGAGGAGGACGGCTGGGTAGTCGTCCCTCACGCAGAGAGCGAGAGCGGGGCTGGGGGTGCGCCAGGGGCGGGGCCCCCGGGGCAGGCCGGAGGAGTGGCAGCGCGCAAGAACATCATGAAGAAGCTCAAGAAAATTGACGAGTACAAGAAAGCCATAGCGCGAGGTATCTCATGTAGCCAGACAGCCAACCAAGGAAGCCGAAGCTCGCGTTCCGTCCGTCGAGGGTGGTGAAAGTGCCCCTGTCCGTGTGTCTGTCTGAGCCTGTGTGCAGGTGATGTGTTGCAGGCGGCCCAGCGGCAGTTGGTAGAGCGCGAGCCTCAGTTGCGCGAGCAGCTCGAGAGACTCAGGGAGGCGGGCGGTGGCGGCAGTGCTGGTGGGAGTGCTGCTGCTGCTGCTGCTGCTGCTAGTGGTGGTGGTGGTCACGAGACCGCTACGACCACAGCAGCAGCAGCAGCAGCAGCCGCAGCAGCCGCAGCGGGTGTGTCTGGCGGGCCCTCTCGCGCGTCCTTCTCTGCGTGGACGGAGGCCCTCAATGACACTGCCCAGCCAACCGTCGTGCTCAACTGTGCCAACTTAGGTACCTACCCACACACTCAGTGGGAGGCCACTGACTCAACAAACAGTCACCACGCGCGTGTCGTGTCGTCGTGTGTTGTGTGTCTCCAGGTCACACCTACGCCCAGGTTGTGTGTTCAGCGGGTCGTGACGAGCTGCGGCGTTTCGAGATGATGCGGCGGATGGGTCGCGGTAGTGGGGGCGTTGGTCTGTATGGCGAGCAGGAGGGCATGGGGCTGCGTGCCCGGCCCATGCGCACCCATTTCTCGTGGGACGGCATCCGAGCGGCTGTCAAGTATTACGAGGCGAGGGGCGTCAAGGTGGTGGGCATCGTCACCCAATCTGTTGTCTCACGTCATCCGGTACGTGAGGGGTGAGAATGGATGTATGGACGGAGGATGGGATGGATGCGTTGAATGAATGCGCCCTTGGTGCTGGTGTGTGTGTGCTGGTGTGTGTGTCTCAAGATACCAAGCGACTTGGCTGACATCATCACGCAGTCGCCAAGTCGTGACGAGGCGAGGGACATCGACGATCTGTTCACCATCAAGACCGGTAGGTAGGGAGAATGATCTGATCACACAGCGCACCGCACACCCGTTCGTATCCCTCCTGCATTTGCTGTGCTGTTTGTGTGGTGTTGACTGATTCGTTTGACATGGCATGAACACCCCCCCAGCGATGCAGCTGAATGCCCAGTACGTCGACAACGACAACTACCGCGACTGGCTGTCAAGGGCTGAGGCCGACGTCAAGGACTTCCTGCGCCGGACCAAGCTCACACACCACGTCTGCTACATCTTCACTAACCCAGATGGCAACTACGTGCCGGACAAAGAACCACTCACGGTGCGTCTGCCACCGAGCATAATTCTAAGACACGTGGCTGTCAACCATTCAATCGCCCGTATGTGTATGTGTGTGTATTGGCTCACAGATAGCGTCCACCCCTCCCCCGCCCATCGTGAGCATCCTGGCTGCGTCCGAGTACGCCATCAACACCAACTCGCCCCCCCGCCCCTCGCCAGCACCATCACCCACCACCACACCATCCACACCGTCACAGCAGCAGCCGCCGAGCACCCCCGCTGCCACACCAGCGGCCCGGCGACGGGTGCAGCTCAGATTGCAGCCACTCTGGTCAGTCTGCAAAGGGAAGGCAAGGCGCGTCAGGAGTGTGACACATACATGTGTGTGTGTGATGTCTCGCGCGTGTAGGTCGCCCAACCAGTTGCCTCGTTCGTTTGAGAGCCCTTTGGAGGGGTGGCAGATCGAGCACTTGCATCCGATGACGGTTGAGGTCGAGTTGGGCAAGAGCGTCGCAGAGGCCACCAAGGACATGACTCAACAGCTCCTTGCCAGATGCAGCCTGGTCAGCCCCCTACCACTGCAGATGTCACCGTGCCTGTCTGTCTGTCTGTCTGTGTCTCCATCCATCCATCCTGACTTCTGGCAGGTTTGTGAGCATTTGCGCCCCGACTTCGCGTCCAAGTTGTCGCTGCATCTGTTTTCGGGCGAGGGTTACGCCATCTCGGCGCGACTCAACTCTCTGTCCCTCGAAGCGCTGCGGGCCCGCAACAACGAGGTCATGTTCGCGCTGCTCACTCTCGCCTCCGCCGCACCGTTCGTCGACCTTGCCCTCCAGGGCGGCACGGAGGGACCGGTCAACGGCAGAGACGGCTTCTGTGCACAGGGGTTCGCACATACGCACTCACTCATGGGACGGAACGCCCGCTGATATGATGCGTATGTGTGAGTGTGTGTGTTCAGGTATGAGGGCGGCCTGTTCCCCCCCTGGATGGCTCGTCGGTCGGGGTCAGGTTGGCGGAGCAGCCACGTGAGTGAGCGGAGCCTCGCCATCTTCTGTTCGACGCTCAAGGTGGTTGCCCGGACCATCAAGGGGTCGTTCAAGCGGCCCCTCCTGGCCACCGTCCGCCGACTCACCCAGTGGAGCCCACTGGTGCACGCACTCAACCAGCTCTTCTCGCAGGAGACCAACCTCACCGTGGGGCAGAAGGTGCGCCAGATAACTAACAGAGAGAAGAGAGGCAGCCACACACACGTATGCATACGTCCATGTGGCCGGTTGTGCGTGGCTGATTGTTCAGGCGATCATACTGCAGGGGATGGTCTTCATTTTCGCGCAACTGTGGGCGGCGGTATCGCAGACAATGAGCAAGGGGCCCGCCGCATCTTCCTCGTCTGCATCGTCCTCCTCCAGCCCTTCTCCCGCCGACGCGTCAAGCTGTTCACTCGACGCCCTGCTCGAGATGTCGCCCTACTTCTGGTACGTACGTGATCCTTGACGGGCCCGTCAATCCATCCATCCATCCATCCATGTGCGTGTGTATGTGAACAGGGCGTACCTGCTGCTGGAGGCCGTGTTGGAGGACAGCGAGGCCAAGTGCGCAGGCTGCGACGCCAAGCTGGGCACCGACTTCTTCTTCCGCATCGTCCAGGCCGCCCCCCACAAGCCCGCCAGACCCGATGGCGACGACACTGCTGACGGCAACGACAAGAGGGCGGGGACAGGCGGCAAGGGCGGCGGCAAGAAGGGCGGCGGCAAGAAGGGCAAGAAGGGCGCAGGCAAGAAGCCCAACAGGAAGCGCCGTGTGGCCGACGATGACACCGACGTCTTCGACGCGCCGGACGACTGCGAGCCCGACGACGGGGATGCGGAGGAGGGGCAGGGTGGTGATGGGGCCGCTGACGAGACGGCCATTCCGCACTCTCTGTCGCTTGATCTGCGGTGCGGTCAGTGCAAGAGCGCCTGGGATGAGCTAGAGTGTCACGAGGCGCAGGAGAGGGAGAACAACACCTCGAAGCGCAAAAAACGCAAAAACCACCAGCAGGACGTGGCCAGGGACAGCCTAGGAGAGGTTGTCAAGGATGAGTTGGGACCGTTCCAGCAGGTAAGTAACTAAGCATGCCGATCCATCCATCGTTCGTATGGATACTGATCGGCATCCATGACATGTGCGTGTGTGTATGCGTGTGCAGATTCGCCGTTTCCCGTGGGGCACGCCCGAGCAGGTTGAGTCGTTCGCCAGCATCGACTTCAGCAAGTACATGGAGCAGAAGGTAAGGTACACACGACAGACATGCCATCCGTCCCTAAGCGAGCCACTGCGCTGACCGCTCTGTGCGCCTAATTCCCATTCCTGCAGGTGGTGCCGTCAGCAGACTTTCTGGCCAATTACGCTGATCGCGATTGCCCCATCTGTGAGGAGAAGTGCAACCCCCCCGTGGAGCTCAACTGCAACTGTCGGGATGGGAGGGGCATCCGTGGCGTCATCTGCCTCAGCTGCGTATGTAACATCGGCATCAGGATGTGCCCCTTCTGCGCCACTGACCTTGGCCCGCTTGACTACAAGGAGGTACGTACACCACGTAGTGTAATCCTGTACACCGCAGACCGAACAACACACACACAACACTTGCGTTATGGATCTCACTTCATGACCTTGTTGGCCCCCTCGAGCAGGTCGTGTCCACCCTGCACACGCGCGCCAACGCGTACCACGAGGTCCTCAAGGCCAGGCACCCTGGAGAGGTACGTACGCATCTGTCTGCACACACATGCACATGACACACTCATACATGACATGACATGCACGTGTGTGGTGTGTGGTTGCAACATGCATGGCTCATCAGGACGAGTGTTTGGTGTGGAAGCCGTCCATCAGGATGTCGCCCAAGCAGGCCGACCTGCTGCGGATCGCCCAGCCGCCGCGCGTCATGCTGACGGCGGCGCAGTTGCTGGGCCCGGCCGACAGCAAGCGCTACGCCGGCAGCCTCATCGATGGCGTCCACGTCGACATGGCCCTCGGACAGCCATTCGGCTACCGAACTGATGGTGGGTGGCCTCACAGAGAGCAGGCCTCGATGGTGATTGTTGGGGGATTGGGGGTGGGGTGCATTGATTGTCTTGCGTGCGCTTCAGGGGAGAAGAGGGCGCGGCTGTGTTGGTTCCCCCCTCTCGATTTGAAGGACCCATCGCTGGACGGCACCGTGCTCACCTTCAATGCCAGCGGACAGACGTACGGCGTGAGAGCACAACACACATGCGCACATACGCAGAAAGGGATGGATGGATGGGTTGTGCAGGGTGACGTTTGAGTCCAAGGGCAAGGACCCCGGCATCGGCACTGGCGCAGTCGTGCTCTTTGACCCCATCCAGGGCGGGACGGACGTCTGTGACGGTAACCAACACACACACACACACACACATGGCAGCCAACCGCTCAACACACGCGTCTGTCTCCTTGTTGTTTGTATGCAGCTGACAAGATCGCCCAGCAGCTCAACGCCTCGTTCCCCAACGGCGACCCCCAGCCGCTGCCCCCCTGCGCCCGCCACGCACAGACCCTCAAGCCCGTCCCCCCTCCCAAACCCACACAGACGGGCGCACCGCTCGATGGCGCACCCAGCACCACCACCCGCCCCACAGCCGCAGCTAAGAGCAAACAGAAGAAACCCAAGGCCAAGGGGGCTGCTGCAGCCGCAGCATCAGCTGCCGACGCTGGTGCTAGTGCGGCGGCCGGAGCAGCAGCGGCAGCTTCGGTGGGCGGTGCTGGTGACATGGTGGACGAGGAGGAGCTGGACCTGGACGTGCAGGACGCCCTCGAGGAGTCACTACACCTGGCCAGGCAGCACCGGGGCGGCGACGGCGAAGGCGATGGAGCGTCGTCCGAGAGCGGAGATGAGGAGTCGGAGAGTGAGTCACCGGAGGGTGCGAGTGCAAGTGCGGATGAGGAGGCCTTAGCTGAGCGCATGGACCGCTATCTCGAGGAGAGGAACCGTGTCCTCAACAGGGGCACGCGCGCAAGGGGTGAGGGGGCTGGCGGGGCGGCTGGGGGCGAGTGGCTGCGCACACGCAAGGTCGAGGAGGCTGTCGTCGTGCTGCTCGACGTCTCAGGTAACCACAAACCCCACACTCCCTGGCTCACCACCCATGCATCCATCAGTGTATGTATCTCCGTCCATCCCTTCAGAGTCGATGACTGACCGAGCCTTCCCGTCTCACTATGGCGCCCCTCCGGCGGACAGGACCCCCGAGTGGGACCCATCCGCCCCACAGGGCTTCCTCTCCTTCTTCCCGGAGACCTGGAGCGAGAATGACATCTTCCGTCTGTTCCAGGCGCAGATGGGCTCCAACATCATCCGCCCTCGCGGCATCCGCATCCTCAGACACAGAGAGACAGGCATCTCCAAGCGACAGGTACGGTGTCTGTCGGTGTGAGGGGTGGTGGGTGGCCCATTTGTGTATGCCTGTGGGGCCGACTGGCCGGCCAATTAACAGGCATTTGTTGATTTTGTGGATGTGGCTTCGGCCAATGCGGCCTTGACGAAGCTGGATGGCTTCCTGGTTACGAGCGAGACGCCCTCAGTGCGCATCAAGCTTCGGAAGGCCGAGGCGGGGCCAAGGGGGCGGGACAGGTGAGGCAAGAGAGAATATTGCGCCGACACATGATGGATGGATGGATGGATGCATCGACACATGAGCGGATGGCGTGTGCCTGTCTGTCCGTTAAATCAGGTCGTTCCTGTCTCGGCTGGATACGGTCAAGCAGCTGTTCAACTGTTTTGCGAATCGTGTGGAGGCATGTGAGCAGCCGAACACAGCACAGCCATCGAACCAACCAAGACGCCACTGGCTTGTTGGTCCTGATGAAGCACTCACTTACCCTGCTGGCTGATGCAGACGACTGCCGGCTGAGCATTGGTTTGGTGGCCTTTGGCGACAACGTGGTCATCTCACAGCCACTCACATCCGCCGTAGAAGGTAACTCAATGAGCCACTGAATTAGTGAGCACAAGGACCCCCCCACACTCATCGCTGTCTCGGCCTCAGACTTCAAGGTGTCCTTAGACGAGGCGACGGCCGAGGGTCAGACGCGGCTCTACGACGCCATCGACGTGGCTACCAACATGCTGGTCGAGTACTGCAACCGTGTCGAGGGTGTGACGGATGACACTGACGATGAGGAGACCGAGGAGCCTTCAACCAGCGAGCCCGGCACGGACGGCACGCAGCGGTCCCTGTCGTCCATCGGGTCGCCGGAAGCCCAGCCAATGCCATTCTCGGCCGCTCACTCCGGAAGGGGTGGTGGACGGGGCGCCGGCAGGTACACACACATCCATCCACACATGCACAGACAGACAGACAGACAGACACAAACGTGGTGCTGTGCTGTGCTGTCGTGACATGTATGTATGTCAGAGGGCTGTATCACTTGATGTCAAGGACGCTCGGCCCCCCATCCCCCCTCCTTCCCTCGTCTTGCCCACTAGCTCCACCACCACACGCGGCAAACCCAAGCCATCGTCAGCCAAACAGCAGCAGCCACAGCCCACGGTCAGTGCAGGAATGCCCGAGGGTCGCATTCGCCGTCGCATCCTGGCATTGGCCGATGGGGAGGACACCGTCAGCCAGAGGACGGCAGTCGACGTGCTGAAGAGGCTGCATAGCAACCCGTGTCGTGCTGGACGCCGTACTCGTCGGCGCCTTCCCGCCTGCCCAAGTTGCCCCCAAAACACGGTGAGGGAGAGAGAGAGAGAGAGAGAGGCACGCAGGCGATCGACAGTTTAGAATTGATGCTTTGTGTCATTCATGATGTGTGTGTAGAATATTGGGTGCGATGGCGCGTGCGAGCGGTGGGTGCTGGCTGGAACCGAAGGACCTGAACCAGGCGCTGCAGCTCTTCGAGCGGGAGAACATGCTCGAGACCAAGACACGCACAACCAGATACATCAAAACGGTCAATAACCCCCCCACCTCCCCTCACACGCATCCGTGCCTCCAGCCATCTATCCATCGTTGCGTCTCCCTCCCTTCTTGTTCTCTCTGCAGGGTGCGTTCGGTTCGGTGGATGAGCTGACCAAGATGGTCAAGACCAACCCCAAGCCCGACGAGACGGAGTCCTTGGCAGTGCCTCTCGGCCTGCAGAACCCCAACCAGACCGAGTTCGTGGTGCTGCCGTCCACCATCCTCTCGCAGGCAAACACCATACTCGCCGCCAACGTGACCGGCATGGGACCCATGGGACCCACTGCTGCCAGTCCTGGTAGTCCTGGTCCTGCGGGTGGTCATGGTGGTGCTGGTGGTGCGGTTGGCAGTGTGGCCAACCCCGCCAGACGGATGAAGCGGATCATCAATGAGCTGCAGAACGTAGAGGTGAGTGAGTGAGGGAGAGAAAGTGGGTGGGCACACGTGTGATTGTGTGACTGTTTGTGGGGATGTGTTGTGTGTATACGTGCAGGAGAACCCTCATCGCAAGATCCACGTGTTCCCGTGTCGCGACGATCTCAACTACTGGAGAGTGGTCATCCAGGGGCCCACAGACACACCTTACTCAGGAGGTGAGGTGCATCAGCCAATGAGGCCGACCTGCCGACTAGCCGACCAGCATCCACTGTGACACGCTGCTGTGTGTGTAATGCAGGGTTGTTTCTGCTGTGGGTGGCCTTCCCGCCCGATTACCCCGCCGCCCCGCCATTGGTGCGTTTCGCTCAGGATCTGACGCGCATCATCCACGTCAACATCAACCCTGACGGAAAGTAAGACAGACCAAATGCAGGGGTGGGTGGGTGGGCCGGGCACATAACGTGGAGGCCGCGTGTGTCGATGTGTGTGTGTATGTATGTGTTCTGGGCGCGGCGCAGGGTTTGCCATCCCATCCTTGACCGCAGCTACTCCATGCAGACTCGCCTGCAGGAGGTACGGTGCGGTACGCGCCCACCGCACACGACACGAACAGACGTTGTGATGGTTGGCCTGCCCTCCCTCTGGTCAGATTCTGACCATGGTGTATGCGCTGCTCTTCAACCCTGAACCGAAGGACCCCCTCGACTCATTCCTCGCAAGTGAGTGAGTGGATGAGCCCACCACCCACCCAATCCTCACCACAACACAACAGCCCACACACACACATACATACGCACACACACGCATGGACGCATCTCTGTCCCGTGTGTCGTCTTGGTCAATCCTGCAGACATGTACTGGACGAACCAGCAGGAGTTTTACGAGTATGCCCGCAGGGTGACCCGCGACAAGTGCAGCTTATCCTTCGAAGAAATGCTGCCGCGCATCATGGACCCGGCCGCCTACGACCAGTGGCAGCGGGAGACCCCTTATCGATGCCCACTGGTCAGATATATCAATTGAGATATATAAGGCACTTTCCCCCTCCCCCGATGACTGACAACACACCGTCTTGTGTGACTGCAGACGCATCATTTCTTCAAGGATCCCGTGCGGACGCCTGACGGTATGACGTACGAGCGTGAGGCCATCAAGGAACACATCGAATCCAACGGGCCATTCGACCCGTTCATTGACAAGTGAGTGAGGACACGACCCCACACGCGTCAGGTGCCCAGTGAAGGATGTGTGTGTCTTTGTGTGTGACGTGTGAATATATGCAGCCCGTTGTATGAGGAGAATCTGGAGGCGGATGTGCGGAAGAAGTGAGTGACCCAGGGCCAACACACACACACACACACACATACACACGGAACACCGATGCGTGCATGCATGCATGCATGCATGCATCCATCCACCGACGCCCCGCCCCCCTTTGCCCCTCTGTCTGTGAACGCGTGTGTTTTGTTTTGTTTTGTTGGTGTGGTGTGTGCCATGCAGGCAGCAGGTGGTCGAGTACATCACCTCCAACTGCCCCTTCCTCGACCTCAACAGCCGATATGCACACACACACGCACACACATGACTGACTGACAGATAGATAGGTGGAGAAAGAATGAAGGACACACATGATCCGATCCCTTCGTTACATGACATGTGTCCGTCCATGGGATACTGAGGAAAGTGATTGGATTGGAAGGTATGTATCTATCTATCTTATTTATCTGACTTGCCTGTTGCTGTTGCTGGGTGGGGTGGGGTGGGGTGAGAGAGGGGTGAGAGAGGTGCCAGCCATTGATTGGTGTATGTAGAGTAGCAGCTGTACATACATACAGACTGACTGACAGCCAGAGAGGCAGACAGACAGACAGACAGAATTATGATGGATGAGCATTTGACCTGTCTCGTTGCTTTCTTGTTGCTCTTCCGGGAATCAATCGTCTTGCTGCCGCAAGTGACTTAGTGAGGGAGGGAATGGGCGGGGTCAGGTCAGGTCAGCTGGGGGGTGGGCGAGCCAGACATAATTTTTGGTCGGCCGGCAGCAAAACTGAGACTCAGACAATAATGATTGATACTGACTGGTCGATAATTGGCAACGCAGCACAGTGAACGAACACTCACTCACACACGGCCGCACATGGACACACGAGAAGGTGGACACGAAGCAGACGGAAAGGCTGGGGCGCCAGCACCCAACCACGCATTATAGCATTTCGCAAAGAGAAAAGAGTGCAACCATTTCCTCATTCATTTATTCACTCATTCACCACACCAACACAGTAAGTAAGTATTCTCTCTTCCCTCACCTCATGTGTGCTGTGCCTGCCTGCCTGGCCAGCCAGAGTCGGTCGCCTCACGGAAAGCTTCACTCAAACGTGAGATCGATCGACAGCAGATCGAGCACAAAAAAGAAAGAAACAAACTAACGACGAAATTAAAATTGCTAGCGGCACTTACTGGCTGCATGGCTCATATCTCCGCCATCTTCAAGGCGGCGGTGTGCCAGTCCAGGTATATATGGATAGATAATGTGTAATCGAAATGCACTCATAAAATAGCGGGCTGAAACTGACCACTTTCCGTCTGTCTGTCTGTCTCCGCTTTTCTATCTGCCGGCGGTGGACCGTGTCCACGCGCACAGGAGCTTCATCTCATCTATAGCTAAGCACAACGAGACGAGACGAGACATGGGAGCACAAGACAATTGGCAGCTTGGCAGCACCTGGTACGCACAGCTGCGGCTGGCGTGTAATACGTATGTATGTGTACGTATGTATGTATGTATGTATCCGTGCACTCAAAGACCAGTTAAATGATTGATTCTACAAATGAATGCCTACAGACTCACACATGCAGTGCAGTCCGTGTCTACACAGCCCGCCACCCTGGACAGGACAGCAGCCCAGCCCAGCCCCCTCCTACAAAAACTGGTGGACTGGACACACAAAATGGCTGGGCTGGGCTGGCTACATGCCCTCTTTCTGGTGCGTAGACCCGCACCGCTCCGTAGTATGGATATTCGCCGCCCCCGACCACGTGCACTCATCCCCCTCGGTCAAGCCCTCCATTGCCGCCCCCTTCAGCGACTTCCGTCTGGCCATCAGGTTCTCCAGGCTGGTGGACGGCCGTGTCGACAGTGTCGACATCCTGCTGGCCTTGGCTCGGCCGCTGGCGACCTTGCTGTATGTGGTAGTAGTGGCGTCCTCTGTGTCTGGGGGGAAGGCGGAGAAGTCCTCACCTTGGATGCAGAGGGGATGTGGCTGTGGGTGTGGGGCGTCCTGCAGCCCCCCGCTGCCCTGGCTGTGAAGGCGGTCGACTTTGCTGGCCTTGCTGAATTTGCTGGTGCTGCGGGGGAGTCGCTTCAGCTCCATTTGGAAGTCTTCCATGCTGATGACTGCTCACAGGTAGCCAGCACACAAAGAGAGGCAGACATGGGCGAGGTGTGAGTAGGTCATGGTCCCTCTCTTTCTTACCTACCTACCTGAGTTGGAGGTACCCGGCGTCGGGTCTCCCACATCTGACAGGTCATTGTCTCCCTCTTCTTCTCCTTCTCCCTCGCTGAGGGGGCTTCTTTGGCTCAGGGGACTCTTGATCTCTCCCACATCTGGGGTGCCACGAGATGAACGATTTCGCTGACGAGCCTGAAATACATACATAGAGACACAACTCGTACAGCGGCAGGTGGGAACAATCGAGGACAGCTGGAAATGTGCTGCCCAGATGCTCACCTTTCTCTGTCCCAAGGGACGGGCCGCCACCTCACGCAAGAGAAGCTTCCGGAACTGTACGTAGACGACCACAACCAGTTGACCACAATACATACATAATTGTCTTCCCTCACTCCTTTTTGGCCACCCGTTTCCGTACGTGGTAGACGGGATCGTTCCAATTCGGCAGCGAGATGGACCGCCGCAGCGCTGAGGAGCCGCCGCTATTGTCTGTCGACTGGTCAAACGGTGGCAGCCGCGATGAGCTGGAGTTGTCCATGTCTCGCACGACCGACAGCGATATCTCTGTGCCATTAAACGAGGCTCCCGCGTTCTTGCGCGACTGCGAGATGTTGAGCAACTTCTGCGCCACCTTGCTCATCGGCTGGGTCTTGTGTCCTTCACCGGCCTCCTCTTCATCTTCTAGCTCAATCTCGGTGTCCGATTCAGATATAGTTCGCGCAATTTTCCATCTCTCGGTATACCTCCGCAGCAGGCTGCTGATGATCGCCGTCTGCGCCTTCGAGAATGCGTGCGTTCGGCGGTCTTCATAGCCCTTAAACAGAGACGCGGTCGAGACGGAAACGTAGAAGTTGTCTTCGTTCATCATGACAGTCCTCTGGATGGGATCGCGCCTGTCGCTCATAGGGGTGCTTTGCGCCGACCCGACGCTCCCGCGGCCGGCCCTTGCTCTGGCATTCCCGTCATGAGCGTCGCTGTCATCGCGCTCGGGTGTTTGGGAGCTGAGGGGGAGAGGGGGGAGGGGAACAGGATGTGGGGGATTGTGGAGGACGAGACCGATGATCTGACGGAGATGGAAGAAATGGCCATCTGACATTTGGACAGCGAGACATGAATCCGATACATGTGGTGCTGTCTGTGTCGATTGCTTTGTACACGCATTGTAATATTACATGGCATTTTGGCTTTGCCCGAGGCGAGTCTGTCCACTTCGTGGAAGCAGTCGCCGGGCCGCGTCAGGGCGAAGATGAGCAGCTTGCTCTGATAAACGCACACGTTGTCTCTTGTGGATGGCACGAGTTCTCTTTGTGACGTACAAGAAAGATTAGGAAAGGCTTCCTGCCCATGAAGGTGAAGATCGGGGCGTCGCTGTCGGTGGACTGGAAGAACTTGAGGAAGGACGGGTATTCCTCACGAACTCGCCGCTCGATCTCGTGCAGGGCCGCTGTGTACGCCTCCCGGTCGTACGACAGCCTGCATCATACACATGACAACAATCGTGCTCACATTCGCACCGACTGCACGAATGACGTGAACCTTAGTCACCTTAAAAACTTGGCGACGACGTCCTCCACCTGTCTGCCACCATTGTCTCCGATTGTCAGCCCCAAGAGGGTGTTCCGCAGTCGCCGTCTCTCTTCCTCTTTGTTCTCCCAGCCCACGATCGCCCCCTCGACCTCGGGGTCGAGCAGTACCTCCCCAGTCCGCCTGCCCAGCCGGCTTGTAGAGGTTTCGAGGCCGCCCAAAGGCATGCTCTCCGTCTGGGGTATGTATGGATTCAGCACGAGTTCGCACGTAGGGTCGTCGAGCAGCGCGACATCAGCGTCGCGGGCCCACTCGAATGACGGCAGCTGCTGGCTGGTGGAATTATCCTCTTCAGCGGCTGCCACTTCTGCTTGTGGGGACTCCATGATGATGTCCATGACGTGTCGCGGCCGTGAGAGGTGAGGCGGGAGCCTCCTGCTGCCTCCTGGGCTGGCCTTCCTCAGTGACCTGAGGCTGGTCTTGGGGCTTGAAAACCTTTGAGCCATCGCCTCCTGTTGCGGCTGGGACGCTAGGAGCGCCGAATTGAAAGAGCTCCACAACTTTTGCCCAGGGAGAAGGAACTGCTGGGCTCAAGGAAGCCAATTTTCCTTAGAGCTCGCAATTTTTGGGGACACACAGGGGCCACAAAGTCTTCCCTTTTGCCCCCTTCGAATTAACTCGCTGCCAAAAGGATGCCTGCCAGCCGTGGGCGTTTGCGGCGCCTCCAGGAGGTGAATCAGAGCGTGATCACGATCTTATTGATGGCGACCTTGAGCGCGGGAGAAAGGCGGGGCTCCCATGAGGTCGTAGAGGAGAGGAGGCTACAAAATGACTCCACACCCAAACCGCCTCCGCCTCCGCCTTTTTCCCCCCCTCCATTCACACCGCGTCCGCCGTCCCTCCCTCCATTCGGTAAAGACAGCGATGTCTGGGGCCATTTGGAAGCGCGAAGGCCCTGTTTTGCGTTTCTGTGTGTTGCTATGCAGTGCATGAAAAGCTTCCAGACTACGTCAACGGTAAACAAACGGTCAGAATCCCGTTGTTCGCATACGGAAGATTATCGTCTTTGCTGCTTTCCTGATGCTGTGTTTGTGCAGCGACTCAGTTGCCTGGCGATAGTTTAGGGGTGGAGTTCGTTACCATCCCGTTCCACACAGACGAGAGCCTGTGGACAGCATGGCAGGCAAGCCACCAGGAAGACAGACAAACACACATACACGGAGGCCAGGATGAGTTGCATGTGTACATGTGTATGCATGCCTTTGTGTCCATCATTCGTTCGTTCAGGGCGACATAGGCACGTGGCAGCGCTTCATGCTCAAGGTGTCTTCCATCCCCGAGCTGACGTCCAAATGGGTTTTAGTGGAAATGTACTACGTCATCGACCCCTCATCCGATGTCTCCCTCTTTCCCCCCGCCTCACTCCAGCCCCCGGTCGTCGCCAGCTCTGCCCTTGCCACGAGCACCTTCCACGACCCTTTGCTGGTGCTCAAGAGTGGGGGGCCGCCTGCTTTTCTCGAGCCTGGGCAGAGCTCGTTGAGCTCAGAGAAAACTACTGTCAACAAGCGGGAGATCAACGCGAGGTCGGACAATGTTGACCTGCACGCTTATGTGCTGTGGAAGCCGTACCATTATGTGACACTGACGCCCAACGACCTGGCGTCTGCAGATTCGCTGCACACCTGGTACCAAAGGAAGGAATGTACCACATGAGTAGGTCCGCCCATGCCGTTCCTGTCTCTGTGCGCGCCAACATGCCTTTACAGGCATGTTGCTATCTTTGATTTTGCCCGTTTGGATCGCTCGAACAAGCTCAACTACTTCTTGAGAGTTCGCTACTTTGGTACGGAGGACAGCAGCTGCCAGCCGCTTCTTTCCGTCGATCCATGTCGGTCTGTCTGTCTGTATGTCTGCACATTGTCAACAGACGAGGCGCCCTGTCCGCGTCAGTGTCTGGGGAGGGGAAACTGTCGCGGCGGAAGATGTCAGTGCGCCAGGGGGTACGGAGATGAAGACTGCAGCTCAGGTAAGTCAGGACATACAAGCACACGCGAGACGCACGTGTGCATGCATATGCAATTTGCGCCGTTGTGCAACGTTATATGGCTCTGTTTGTATGTATGTGACGCCAGAGGTGGGAGTGCTGCAGAATGGCAAGGATGTGTCCGGTCAGATCGACCCGGGGGTTGTGCACTACTACTACATCGACGCCAAACCAGGTCATGGTCATCTGTTTGTCTGCGGCATGTGGTTACATCATGCCCGTGTATATGTGTGCAGGCGAGAATCGTATGCTGATCATTGACTTCCAGAATCAGGGCGGCGACCCCTACCTGGTCATCAAGGGCAGCCAAACCAAGTCAGGCATGACACGTTTACACATAAGAAGTGAATGTGATGCACTGCTGTCTGTGTGTGGCTCTCCGTCACTCATTGTTTGACAGCAACTATAAGCTGCCGACACGACTGGTACCCGCAGACAAAGACACACTGAGAGACACACACACACGCAGGGAGAGAGAGGAAGAGATGTGTGTGTCTGTTTTGTGTGCACACAGGATCACAACTTCGACACGTACAATCTGAACAAGGAGAGGCAGCGGCACCAAAAGCTGCAGTTCCTCATCTCGGGATACACATTCGACAGATGGTTCATCGGTACCGCCGGCCCTTCCGCACACGTCTTTTTAGCTCTGCATCCGTGTAAGTGTCTCTCTCTCTCTCTCTCTCTCTGTGTGTGTGTGAGCAGCTGTGAACAACCGGTGGCCGGTTGAGTATGATCCTGAGACGCGTTACGTGCTGACAGTGTCGGTGCAGGACAACCCCGCCGACCAAACACAGCTCATATACATATACATCGCCCTCACTATGGGAGTGGTAAGACCATGGCAAGCAAAACACGCACGCTCACATCAATCACCCAGATTTGTTGTGTCTCCCTGCATGTGTGTGTGCGTGTCTCCCTGTGTGTGTATCAGGTGTTTTTGTTGATGTGGCTGCTCTTCTGCGTGTACAAGGTGGTGAGGATGGGGCGGACCAGCCCCACATCTGCACTCACATCTGCACTCCAAGCAGTAAGGGTAACCAACCATCCCCCCCCGCCTCCACCCCCGGGCACACACGAGGTTTCTTTCTCCCTCCCTCCCTCCCTCGCTATCAGTTTGCGGTTGGTGCCGGTGGTGTGGGTGACGGGTCGCCACGGAACGTCAGGAGGGTCCTCGACATCGACACACGATTCCCCGCTCAAACCTTCGGAAATGCAAAGGTTCACATGTCTTGAGACAGACCCTCACACGCCCCTCCGTCCCTCTCCTTTCTCCGCAGAAGCACGTCAAGGGTCTGGAGATGCAGCGCACCTCATCCTCCATCCTATCCACCAGCGGCGTGGTCTTCCCCATTGCCGATGAGCGAGCCGTGACCCTGCCAGCCATCGCCACCCCCATGATGGTCGGCAAGGGACAGAAATTCCCAAACAGCCCCTACATGCCGCCAACCCACTCCGTGACCACCCCCGCGCCCACGCCGCTCGCACTAGCACGGGACACAGAGATGGAGACCGTCAGCGGGGGCCCGGTGCCAGTCGCCACGGGAGTCGCTCTCGGCCTCATCAGGTGAATTGGGCCATGGGTGGGAGCGCGGAATCGCATACCCATGTGTGTACGTGTGTGGATGGATGGATGCAGGGGCGACTCAGATGAGATTGCGTCTCACCGTAAGCAGAGTGAGGCTGACAGCCGGCCGCCAGGGGCTGAGATGGACGGCCATGGCGTGCGTGATAACGTCAGCCCGCCCGGCACCCTGCAGGAGGAACCCGTGGAAGCCAAAGAGGGAGAGGGAGAGGGAGAGGGAGAGGGAGGGGCTACCAGTAGAGCAAAGACGGAGCCGCCTGTGGATGATTTCTGGTACATAATGCCTAGAGGGAGCACTCTATGCTCATCGCACGCTCTTTATGTCATGCAGCTGTTCTGTGTGTCTTGTGGAGTTTGAAGAGGATGATGAGGTGACTTAATGAAGGGGTGAATGAATGCAGACCAGACATGTTTGTATGGATGCAGGCTTGTGGGATGGATGTGTGCTGTCCACTCGTGCAGGTCCGTGTGCTGGACTGCAAACACGTCTTTCACAAGGTGGGTCACACGGCCACGTGTGAGTTGTAAGGTACTAGGATGGTTCACTGCACTGTGTCTCCGTTTGTCCCGTCCACCCACACAGCTGTGCATCGATGAATGGTTCAAAGCACATACAGTAAGCTCACTTCACACCCAGAACACCACTCCCGACGACAGCATACCCATTCTCCGCTTCGTCTCCTCCCAGGTGTGCCCTTTGTGCCGAGCTGAGTACGGCGAGCTGGTGCCGATGGAGCTGCCCGGCGACCAGCCGCCCCCGCCACCCGTCCCATTCCTTCGCACTCCCAGTGGCTCCCCGCAGAACCAAGACGATCATGGGCCCCAGCAGCCCGAACAAGAGGGAGACACGGCCAATGCAGGAGCGACGCCTGAGGCCACGGCCATGAACGGCGGACCACCGGCAGTGGAAACCCCTGCGCCGCCGTCCCCTGACCTGCTGACGAGCACTATCCTGCCCGTGGATATGATCAACGGGGATGTGGATGGGTCGCCGTCATCTGGGGTTGATGTGGAGGCCAGGATAGTGCCTATAACAGTCGAGGAGGAGGAGCAGACCGCCGTTGTGGTGGTCAGTCCGGACGATGGGGTGGGCCGTGGGGAGGGGGAGGGGGAGGGGGATAGGGGAGGGCACGCTCAGAGAGGGGAACGTGAGTGACCGACATCCATCCATCCATGCATCCATCGGTGTGTGTGCACGGGTGCACGCATGCCTTGGGTTTTTTCGCCATTTGTTGCTCTGCTTCGACGAGCCAGCGCCATGTTGGATGCCTGGCTGATGGATGCACGTCTCTTTCTGTGGTCGTTGCTCTCTTTGTTGTCTCGCTAATGCAGCCAGCCAGCCGGTCGTCGCCGTCTCTGGCGGCCTTGTTGCGTTTTGTCTGCACATGATTAAAACGACGTGTCTGCATCGCATTCATTCATTCATCGTCAGTGAAATGAAGTCGGTCGGTCGGTCTGTCTGTCTGTCTGCTTGTACAACAGCCGTCCGTCCGTCCACCCGTCCATCCGTGCAGTGCATCCATGAGATGTATGTGCTACTCATCAATCCTCACGAAGGCAAGGTCGTGGTTGTGGCACGGATACATCTCATAGGAAGCGTGTGACACATGCAATGCTGTCACGCACTCGCCATCCCTCTCCCCAGCCCCATCCCTCTGCTGCCCTTCATCTCCTTTCACAGCGGGAATGTTGCAGAAGGACGACACCTGCACAGCACGCACCACCGACACGCCGACATAGGTGAATCTGCGTGTGTATCTCTTCTGTCCATATGTATCTCGTCTTACCATGACAAGGCCTTCAGGGCAAGAATCCTCATCACCGCTGGCGGCAGGGCAGTCTCGCCTCTGCTGGCTCTCTATGCTGTCGATAGCGTACTCAGGTACCCGCACCCTGACAGGCTGCAGACTCCTGTCTTCTTCGCGCGCCGCTCCACACTCTGCCTCTCCCCCACTCACTGCACTATCGTCGCCGGCGGCCATCCTGTCCACCTGCAGAGGCTGGTCCTCCCACCAGTTGACCAGAAACGTCACACGCGGATGGCCGTCAGGTAGCTGCCCCTCCAACACGCCATGCACACCCGTCCCAATAAAGGTTAGGTAGCGATTCAGTGCTGGCCACACGATGAGCGACTCCGCTGGCGAGGGGGGAGAGGGGGTGAGGGTCAGAGCGTCGATGCACTGTGCCGTGACGACGGTGGGCCCTGCGGGGTGTGCGGCATCGAAAGGGGTCAAGTAGAGGATGGAGGATACAAGGGGCGTCTTGAGCTCGTGCGATTCTTTCAGAAGCGTTTCGTCCTTGTCAACATGGAAAGCCATCCCTTCGTTGCCCCGCACTTGACACCTGCGAACATACACGCCGACACCACACACCCACACAGAAAGAAAAGTGTGAGTGTCAAGTGAAGTGTGAGTTAGTGTGTGCGCACCAGTACTCTGCGCCCTTGATGTAGAGCGGCAGAAGTGGTGAGAAGGAGCTCTTGATGACTGTATCAAACAGGTGCTTGATCACAACCTCGAAGATGCATCGAGGCTCTTCTTTGGATGTCAGCACCGAATGGGGCACCTGCACAAAGCGCAGAACATCCACCTAAGTGTGTGAGGAGTGTCCGTCAATGCCGCGCACCCAGTAGTTTGGCTGATCGGCCAGTGCAGGTGCGTGCTTCCGCAGTGACTCGAGCAGCGATGGGGGAAGAGTCTGGTCGTAGAGCCGCGTGAACCGCTTGGGATCTGCAGACAGAAACGACAAGCAGAGATTTGTGTTTCGACAATGCAGCAAGGGTAACCATCCGACGACATCGGCGGATCTGTTTCTCGTGGTTCCTCATCGCTTCTGTTGCTCTCCTCATGCTGCATCTGTCCCGGCTCTATAGCTATCTCTGGAGCAGATCTCCAAGGACTTGAGACTGGGGGTCGCCCAGTGGGCAGGCTCGCATGCAGAACCTTTCTCCGTTGCTTCTCTTTTGATCCCTTTCTCTTCCTGTCCTTCTGGTCGTCCTCCTCTTTGCCCCCTCGCACAAGGTCGTGAATGCGTGATGAGTCTGGAACTTTCTGAGGCGTTCTCGAAGAAGCTGAGAGAGAAGACATCGTGGCGGCTGGATGACGTTGCTGACACGGTTGGGTGCGTGGAGAGGTGCTTTTACACAATCACACAGATTGACAAGCGATGGCGCATGGCAAGGTACACAATGAGAGCCGGCACGTGTGTTTGCCTGATTGATCGACTGCTTGTTGCTCGACCAGGCAGAAGCACTACGAGACATACATCAGCAAGAAGCTCACTGCAGAAGCGAGTGATCCTGCCAGCACCGCACGGAGGCGGATATTCAAGAAGCGCGGCGTCGCCATGGAGGGCGTCCCGGAGATGCCGACCGGTCGCCCAATCAGCCGCCTCACCAGGTGGAAACAAGTCGGCAGAGGACACAGGTATGCATGCGGCTGCAAGTAAATGGAAGCACCTCTTCGATGGATGGATGCCCCTTGTGTTGTCTGCCTTGGCTGCATGTGTTTGATTTACTTCATTCGAACAGGCGGCAGCAAGACGCTCTTGACGACTTCGCGAGTGCAGCGGGCAGCCAGACTAGCTCAGTCATCGCCCCTCGTCGCCCAGAGACACGCACGATAGAAGAGATCCTGAGCGCTCAGCAGCAGGAGGAGGGAGACACGGAAGAGGAGGAGAAAAACCATGAGGCTGAGCCGACGATTCCGGGGACTCCACGATCTGCATCGACCGGCGCAGAGGTGTGGTGAAAGCAAATGAGTGAAATCGCCCGCTGTGTATGCCTGTGCGTGTATTGCGTGTTTATGGATGCAGTTGGTTTCTCGACGACGGAGGGGCGTGCCGTCATCCGCTGCGTCCACGGCAAGCGAGGGGAGACCAGCCGCTGCGGCACCTGGTGACGCACCTGGTGAGGACACGACCCATGCTCCTGCAGGTGGGCGGGGATGTGAGCAGGAATCATACCTGCATTCCCTTACTGGTTGTTGTCAGACACGATCAAGATTCAGCTCGCTGAGCCCAGCGGTGCCCCTCGCCCCATGACCCCTCCCCGTGCTGGTGAAGAACACATAGCCCCCCAGAGAAGGCAGTCCAAAGAACGAACGTCGTTAGAGGTGATGCGCGTCTGGATGGTGAGGATACACATGTGGCGACTGATGTCCTCTGACTGACTGTACTGTCGTGTCTCACTTGTGTCGTCTCAGCCTCCTGCAGACGTGAAGGTGACCGATGGCTCCCAGGGCTTCGTGCAGGCCGTCAGCGATCATTGGCTGAGATACCCAGAGGCTGAAATTCCCCCTCAGGCGGCTTCAAGAGTCCCACGTCTGTCTCTGCCCCCCTACGCTCACGAGCAGGAGTCCGAGGCTCTAGGCGGTCTTCCTCTCTCGGCTCGGCTGCAGTGGCAGACGGCGAGGGCACTGCAAAAACTGCATGATACATGCGTGCCCCGAACGAGGCGAGGGGGGACGAGCGAAGACAGGGAATGAGGGACACATGCAGTACTTTGTGTCATGAATTCATTCTCTTGCTTGCTGCAGGGAGCGGGGTGAGATGTCTGGGGTGAGTACGGGTCCCTCGACCCATCGCAGGCCGCCGTCACAGCCGCGCACGGAGAGAGAGATCCGCGAGACCGCTAGAAGGGTTGGTCAGCAACGAAACCTGACCCATCAGATCACATATGGAGTCGTCGTCGACCAACTGGCGCCGGGAGCCCCCAAAGATAGCATCTTCACACCGCGGATGATCAGCTCGGAGCAGAAGCGCCTGCTCATCGAGAAGGCCACGCGCCAAGAGTTCCATTCCAAGGTCAGGCTAGGGCACTCGATGACTTACATCACAAGGTGAACAAATTGCGTTCTTATGTGACAGATCTGCATCGACTCTGACCCAGCCCCCACCATGCAGGACAAAAGCGTCAAGTCCCTGCTCGATAGAATCAAAAAGTCAGAGGAAATCAATGTTGCCATTCAAATGCTTCATGTCTCGTACATGCAGGCATTATAAGGGCGTGCACGCGAAAGACCCGATTCGCGCGTGGCGAGACAAACCTCTGAAGCTGGCAGGTCGGCTACAGAAACAAAGCCTCCTGGATATGCAAGACGTTGGGTCAGTAGAACTCTCTCCTGTTTCCAGAGTGGGCTGTGTTCTCGCGTGCGATCCCGGTGCTGCCACAGCCCCCGAGCTCACCCAGAGCCAAGAAGAAGAAAAGGAAACGGGTGAGTCTTCGGCTGACATTCATCCAGAACACACGTGTGCTGTCTGTCAATCCATCTGCAGAGAAAGAGGCGGGATCAGCTCAAGGTTGAGGCGTTCGACAGCGACAGCCGGCGAAAAGCAGCTGCCAGACGGCGAGAGCAGCAGCCTGCTCCTCGGGCCTGTTCATTTCTCCCACCGATCATTGCTTCCCCGACGGTCATGGGCAGCAGTGACAGCAGCCCCATGAACACCACGCACGTGTCGCTGGAAGCACCTGAGCCCACGTCGCCAGCCAGGCTGAGGGGGAGCCCCGGCCGTCATGGCGACCAGAGGGCCTTCTCCCTGCCGAATCCACATGCATCCCCCTATGCGGGGCTGATGACCAGCGCCTCAAGCCCGAAAGCGAGATCTGGGCATCGCCCGGTGACAGAGGAAACGAAGGCTTGCTACACGTGGCTTGTATTGCCATATGTGCTGTCTCGTCTGTATGTGCGTGTTGGGGGCTTGTAGTCACAAGCGTCGAGCAGGGGCAGCAGAGACAGCCCGCCGGAGCTCCGACGCACCTTCGCTCGCTCCAAGACAACAATGCCAGAGAGCACGCAGCCGAGATCTCTGGATCGGCATGAGCGGCCCTCCACTTCAGTGTCCGGAAGCAGCCGCAGAAGTTCGCCACGACGGTCACCGCTGATCGACCCCTCACCCACAGAGGTAGCCTGTCATGCAGAGAGGGACCACTCGTGTTTTCAAGACACTCCGCTTCCTGTTCTGTCAGCTTGATCATGCATGTGAGACTGATCATTCGCGGGAGGACCACCGCCGGTCCTTCAGCAGACGAGGGAAGCTCGACGACTTCATCAGACGATGCAGTCAACAGCATGAGCCCTCATGACAAGACAGCACCCATCTATTTGTCATTCCTCAGTCCTTAGTCCCAGACAAACACGAGACACATCAATGGCCTATTTGTCGAAACACCTGTCGGTCTGTACATACAGTCAGTACCGCCATGGATAGTTCACCTTGGCCGCCATCCTGCGCAGCTTGGGCAGCAGATCACCACTGCGTAACAAGGCCTCCGAATCATGGAGAGCAAATAGTTGATACGGAGGAGCAAAAGCCCGGTTGCCTATGCTTGTGTCATCCCTCATGATGCTAGAGGACATGTCCATCTGCAGGAGTTGGCCGCAGGCAGGGCAGATGTCACCACGATAGCGATGAAGCTGGTCCGTTTGGAAGGGGAAAACCTCTCGCGGGTGTCGCCTTGCGATCGACATTCCGATGTCAATTGTACGGCGCATCTCATCCACAAAAGTCTGTTGAAGTGCCTGCATGAGACATGTTTGCCAGATGAATCGGCGTGTCTGTTTGGCTTTGGGGGGATGGCGTACCTTCACGCGAACATAGGCCGGGTTGAGACTGTGGAGATCGGCACCTTGCTGATATCTTTCTCTTCCCTACGCCCAGCCAGGAGACATGAAATAAGATACTCTTCCAGCATGCCTCGGCCCCAAGGTGTTGTTTGATACCCGCAGCAAGAAGTATTTGAGAGCGTCGGGAGGAGCGGGAGGGGCGTCAGACCCTCCCGCCCCTGCCGACGCCTCCAACTCTCTCCGAAATGGATGGTCTAGGCCTTCGTGCAGCAGCGAATGCCAGAAGGCTGGTGCACTCATCTTCCGCGGCACAAGCTCATCGTAGCGTCGCTTGATCGTAGGCCACTCTGCCAGGACTGTCGTCATCTCAGAAGCAGCAGGAGCCTCTTTCTGACGGGGAGGCACTGAACTTGATCGCTGGGCTTCGCGCATTTCTTCCCGTATTTGCCAGCTACTTGTCTCCTCCCACTGACGTGTCTCCTCTTCATCAGCCTCCTCTTCCGTGTTGGCTTCATTGTCAAAGTCCCCAGGCTGTGCATAGTCCTCCTCATCACTCAGGTACAGGGATAGCCGCGTCACCCCATCATGGCCTGTCTCTTGCACAAGACTCCCCCTCTTGCCGAGCTCAGATGTCGGGAAGCAGACGGGCTCGGCGTCCATGCCATCATCTTCGTCAATTGGGGCCCACAGCGATGTCCGATGCTCAGCACTCGTGAACAAAACACCCTCTCTCCCGAAGCTGCAGACGACAGGTCAACATGAATTCCCCACCTCTCCCGTGAGCAGTGCCCTCCATGAATTCCCTCTCACCGGCTGCAGACGACAGCGTCGTCGAAGCTGCTCACATCGGTGGAAGCCACTGAGACGCGGTGCACGGCCGATGCGTCGATGACAGAGAGCCGGCTCTGTCTGCCGGCAGGTCTGATTGACAGCCTGTACTGGTCCATCAAGGCGGCAGCGTTTGTCCAATCCCTTTCCGATGCGAAGAGAAAGGCAACGCACTCCAAGCCAGCTGCGGAAGATGGGGGCTTGAGGGATACGATCAGGAACAGCTGGGAATGCTTGATCCTCATCTTGGTAGCGGACTCCACCTGAGGATCAAGCAAGATGAGACAGAACGGTAGCGGCTGTAGTCGTACCACCTGTGCTGTTCAGCTGAGGTTGTACCTCTGTATGGCGAAAGGAAATGACGGTCTTCTTGTCTGCGGACAGCGTCCATTCAACTTGGTCATCGGTAATGGCCAGAATGCCGTCTGCACCCTGGTGTCGACAGGGGAAAGACCTTTCCGCAAGACGTCGCTTTGCGTCGGCATCCCCGTTCGCTCTGCTTTGTGCTCTCCGGGTGTCCTTCTTCTGGGGCTTCATACAGCTGCAGCCTATCACCGCGATAGAAGCAGTCCCCACGCTTGAGTCGACCTGTGTTGATCTAGACCATACCCACCGTATGGTCTAAGCAGAGCACAAGACAACCAACTACAGCCTGTTCAGAAGCAGTCAGAGAGTCTGAGACGGGCCCACAGCCCCCCAAAAAAGCTCGCCGCCAGTCTCTGAGTTCGACAACGTACCTGGTAGACGGCTCACCAAAGCCCATGCAAGGCGCCACGATTCATCGACTTCCTGTTTCGAGAACATTTCGTGCGGGACGGCCCGATGGCGCCCCAAAGGTGAACAACGTAATGCGAATGCAGCTGCATACCACATGCATTCACTCTTGTTGTATGTATGTGTCTGTCCATGATGCAGGCGACGGTGCCTCTTCTCATCGGCTCCCCGACCACTTCCTCCCCTGCAGTGGCCAATCCAGCGTCCTCACGAGTCCCTACAACAGGCACAGACCAATCCACGCCCCTCATACCGAGCAAGACAAGCGCGGCGGCCATTATAGATGGGAATGATAGCCAGGAGCTGCAGCACAAGGTGCAGGCGAGCTATGCCGAGCCTCTTAAGGAGCCAGTTCAGCCGACGGAAGATGAGGAAGCCGCTCATCAGCAGCCAAGGGGGCGTGCGCTGTCCCATCCGTCATTCGTGCAAGATCCGTGTGCGTTCTGCTCCGACGATGGTGCGCCACCGGTCCCCCCTCCCCCTCCCGCCCCCCTCTCCCCTCCTCAGTCGTCATCTGTGGTCAACCAGCCGCGGGCTCCCGTGTTGATCAGTGACGTGGAGCCTCTGCCGGTCGAGAAGGACATTGCAAATGTCTGCTCTTCCCTGCAGCGCCTGCTGGCACACATGAGCAGAGCGACCACACCACCGAGGAGCCCTCCCGATGGGGCTCCGATGGCTCATCGCACGACGGCGAGTCCACCGCCCGACAGGAAGGGCAGTCCTGAGTCGTATAAGGGCAGAGAAATGGTAACCAATTCACGTGAATGTTGCATTATGAGTCAAACGGTGTCCTGTTGGGTGCTGTTGGTTTGTTTCAGGAGAGGTGGGCTCGTCGGCAGGAGGATGAACAGAGGGAGCAGCGGGCACGGGAGAGGGCGAGCGGGGGGGCCACATACAGCGGATTCGCCGTCCTCTCACGCTCGGCTTCGCCGACGCCGTCACACAAGTACCGCAGCCCTCCACAGGGGGCCTGTGTTGGTGCTCGCGATGAGCACCAGCATCGGCAGCACGTGGTGCGGCGGAGCCGGCCCACGGTGCCGCGGCCCTTTCACTTGGCCACAGCCGATCGGTCGGTGGAGCGCAAGCAGGGGGGGGAGGCTGAGGGGGTGCGGAGCGTGCCTGTGGTGCTGTTGGATAAGGTTGAGTTTGTGGAGCCGGTGGCTCGCCCATCGCAGGGCGACTCGATAGACACGACCATGGTGAAGGCGCAGGTCGCGTCGTTGAAGAGGAGCCTTAAGCAGAAGAGTGTTGAGCTCAACAGGTACGCAGCTAAGAGGAAAGGGACGGGCGGTGGAGAGGGTTGGACATCTTGCTATCTGTGTATCTCGTCGCAGGCTCCAGGATCGGCTTGCAGCTGAGCGTGTTGCGTGGGAAGATGCACGCACAGAGCTCGCACAGGAACGCGACGACGCGCTCAAGTAAGGCAACGTCGGTCAGCTCTTGCCGCAATGTCATTGCGACTCGACTCGTTTCTCTCTGCAGGAGGGCCAACAAGTCGCGTGCCGCCCACAACACACAAGCGTCCAGGTACGTGGTATGGGACGCGACACAGCAAGCAATCAAAGATGCGTTGTTTTTGCTTTGGTTCGAAGAATGCATGAGAAGGATGACAAACTCGCTAGAACGCTCAAAGAACTATGGTATTCAGTCAATGACAAGCGTGCCGTGGATTGTGTGGTCCATCCAATCGTTGTGGTGTATCTGTCAGGGAGAGCGAGCAGGCCAACACGGAGCTCAAACAGAAACTAGCCGACATGACACGGCAGCTGCAAAGTAAACCAAACCAACAAACACAAGATTCTGCATCTACCTTTCTGTATGTGTCATCTCACCTGAATCCATACAGCTATCCAACATCAGCTGCAGTCGGCCAATGGTGCCGCTGCGCCGCCGCCCTCCGCTCACCCACCCGAACCACCCGCACCAGGTGACGACCTCGACGCCGAGGTTCGCCGCGTTTTGGAGCGGAAGGGCGACGACGGCGAGGAGGGTCGTGACGTCAACGAGGGTCTGCGGCAGCATGTAGCGGAGCTGGAGGAAAGTCTCACCAAATCGCAGGGCGAGGTCGAAACACTGCAGGTAGATCTCACGCGAATATTGGCTGTCGGCGGGCGATTGATCAATATTGTCGCGTGGTCTGTTTGTTGGCCCTTCAGGCACAGCAGCGTGAGGTGGCCAAGGCATTAGCCGATAGTTTGGAGGAAAACGCCTCCCTGCAGGTGAACATCCAGGTACGTACGAGTCCACAGACGACAGATACACGATGACATCCATCTGGCATTGCTGCCTGCCCGTCGTCTGTGTATTCCACGCAGCAATTGAAGGAGGAGAAGAAGAAAGAGGTAAGGGCACAGCCTTTCCCTCAGACGCATTGTGTGCGCGTCGATCTGTCACTGTGTTCTGGCTGTGTGCAGGATGATGCGCGAAAGGCCGACGTGCATCACGAGGAGCGATGTCGGCTGTTGGAATACGAACTCTCCAGGTCTGAGGTCAAAGCAGACAGACTCGCAAGAGAACTCGAGGTGGGATGAATGCAGCTCTTCACGGCTGACACACATTGAAGGGTCTGTGTGTGTGTGTGTGTTTGTGCCTGTGCCGCTTGTGCAGACATTGAAAGACGAGCACGCGACCCTCACAGCACAGAAGGCCACCATGGAGTCTGAGTCCGACGGTCAGCTACGTGGCCTGCACCATATCATCAGCGAGAAGGATGAGGAGCTCGCCAGGCTGGAAAAGCGTGTCCTGTCATTAGAGCGTGAGGTGAGTGCTACACACAACCAGACATGTGTGTCTATGTGCGTGTGTGCCCATCGCTCAGCTGGAGTCGGCCCGTCAGACGCTGAGCCAGTCTCTGAGGACCGGGGAGGCGTCCGCATCTGGACCGTCGTCAGTCGAGAAGGCCGACCTGGTGCAGATTCTCCGGGCTCAAGCGCGGAGCACGGAGATGCTGCTGGGCGAGCTGGAGAGGAGAAACGAGGGGCAGGAGCAGGGTGACAATGAGCAGACAAGCCCTCTCTTCGGCGAACGGTTAGACCATCACAAGGACGACTAGCCGTGTTGCGTGTGCGGGGGGAGCAGGAGAGCAGGGGAGTGTTGGCAGGGGAGGCAGGGGCATACAGACATGGAGTGGTAGATAGAGAGACGGTGATACTTACTCTGTCACATTGCCTACCGGTGTTTTATTCGTGCGTGTTGGTGCTCTGTTGATTGATTGCAATGGTCGATTGACGGTTTTTTCTGTCGTGTGCAGTGGGTGCAGTGCACGGCACGGACAGACATGTAGTCGACCGAGTGTTTTCATGTACATGTCTGTGTACGTACAAGCACGAGTCTCGATCAACGCAGAAGCGACCCTAAGACCACTCAGTGATTGATTGATCGATTGATTCATTCCTCGCTTCACTGCTGCGCGCGACGTCAGCTGATGAGCCTCCCCATCATGAGCACCCGGCAGGCTGGTCTTGTCATGCTCTCACTCTCACTTTATCTGCTGCTGCTGCTGCCGGTCGACGGCGACCTCTTCTCCGAAAGAGACATGGTACACAAACCAGAGACACGTGCAGGCACATACATACAGGCTGTCTTAACTTGTGCGTATTCGCGCGTGTGTCAGGCCGAGAAGACTGTGTGCAGCACATTGCACCACGGTGGCGACTCTGGCAAGACGACAACTGCGGTGGGTGACATCGTCAAGATTCGCCTCAAAACCTCAGCTGCTGACATGTTCTCCACTTACAACGACCACGGTATGTCTGCCACCCACACACAAACACAGCCAGCAGCAGCCCGCGCAAAAGGCCTCCATGCATTCCTCTCTCTCTCTCTTCTCTGTGTTTGTGTGTGCAGGCGAGTCAGTGCAGGAGAGGGTGAAGGTCGGTCAGCACAACGTGACGCCGCTCAACAAGTGCCTGATGGGCATGTCAGTTGGGGAGACGCGACGAGCCAGCATCCCTCTCACACAAGGCTTCGACATCACATACACGGTTAGCCAACCAGCCGGCCAGCCGCCACACAGACGGAGGGAGGGAGGGGGAGAGGTGTGTGTGCATGTATGTCTCTGTCTGTTGTTGTGCGCAGGTGACGTTGCTGAGTGTGGAGTCGAAGGCGAAGGGACACGAAACAGAGCTGTGATCGATGGCATCCACCCACGGCGACATCCATACAACAAGACTCTGTGTGTGTATGTGTGTGTGTGCACGCACATCATAACAGACACATTCACGCACGTACCGTGTCATCAATAGGTGCGCCTGCACTTTACGCGCCTGCACAGGGTGTCACTCTGTCGAGCTCCTGCCCTGCATGTGTGTATCTGTGCGTGTTAGGTGAGAGGTACACAGATACACACACAGATACAGATAGATACACAATTGATAGATACACAATTGAGGCCTCCCTGCATGTGTCTCATGGATGTACGTACGGGTTGGTAAGTGGCGGTCCACCCCACCCAGACGATAAGTTAACGTTGAGGCGCATACTTTGAACTGGAGACACTGACATTTAGATATGTCGAGACATGCACGTTTGTTCAGAGGATATGTATACATTGCCTGTCCACTCAACGCATGTTCATCCGTTCATTCTGTTGGTTCGTTCTTTTATCCGCATCAGTACAGTCAGCTCGGCTCGTGTGTGTGGCTGATTGTGTGTGTCGCTCGAGTCGATTTGACACATTCTGTCTGCCTCATCTGAGCTGTGGGATGACGTACGGTTTGGTCTTGCAGTCGGCCGGAGGCTGCAACACACACACAACGCAGCATCAATCAATCATCCATCCAGAGTCCAGCCATTGATGAGGGACGCGTAGATGGATGGATAGATGGCTCACCGTACCGTCTCGTTCTGGTCGTAGTGGCCATCGGCCATCACGCACACCTGTTGACACGGGTACAACACACGACACATGAGCTGTCTGGTCTGGTGGGTGGGTGTTGTGGTGTGATGCCCGACTGACGTACGAGTGGTGGGTGCGTTGTTGGTGGCTGGAGTGACGCAGACGAGCGGTGTTTGGATGCACACGAAGCCGCCGCCACGCTGCTGATATATCAACACGCACACACACACACACACAGAGAAAACACTGCTTGGTTTGTGAATGCATTGCATTCCTCTTTAATTGTGTGATGGATGCCTTGTGTGCATCGATGGCGTCCGGCAGCTCATCCAGTGGCTTGTTGTAGCCAATGAAGTCCAAAATCCCCCCAGCCATGACCGTTTAAACACACACACACACACACACACATTGGTTGGATGGACACACTCACGTGTCTCTCCCTCCCTCTCTCCCTCCGTCTCAGTGACTGACTGCCTCACCCACCCAGCAGATTGCGCGGCGGACTTCAACGAACGAAGACGAGAGGAACTTGATGATGTAGTGATTCATGCAGAACTTGCACCACTGCTCGGCCTTCTGCTTCGAGTACAGACACACGCCGGCGATGGATGTGAACTCCTTCAGACTCACGCCGCCCATGCACAGACCACCCTGACACACACACACACACACACACGGGGAGGGTTCAATTGTGTATCTGTCTGTCTTTCTGCTGCATGGCTTACGCGCTTGGCGTGTGCGGCCGATAGGACGAGCAGCACAGACGACGGGGCTGCGCTGGACAACGCGGAGACACAATCCGACTCACTCTCGAAACTGACACACAATCAGAGACACACACATCAGCTGTCTGCCTCTCTCTCTCTCCCCTCCCTCCCTCTGTGTGTGTGTGTGTGCGGGACCTCTTGACGTTGGTGGCGAAGCGCTTGAGGTCATTGACGAACGCAAACAAATGACGAGGCTCGACGTCGTTACAGTAGACGTACACAACCCAACTCTGCACGGTGGCGCCACACAACGAGGCATGGCGCAATGAGTGTGTCTCTCGTGTGCTGTGCCGAGCCTACCTGGTCGAGGCGGCTGGTGGACGAGTAGGTCATGTCGCTGTTGCTGTCACGATTGCCCGACATGATCATCTCACACACTGATTGGCTCACTGACTGACTGACTGACTGATGTGCTGAGTGGCTGCTTGTTGGTCGATTGTTTGTCGATACACGACGGACGAGTGGAGAGACGACAGAGTGAGACCCCCCAGGCTGGTCAATTGGCTTTCTGCTGCCTGTGTCTGTGTACGTTTGTGTTACGGATCGTCGATCTGTGTTTTGCGTCGTGTGTATGTGTGCATGTGTGTATGTGTGTATGTATGCAGTCGTCGATCGTGTCGGATCGGTTGCATTCATTAGATGGATGTTCGCTTCTCGTGGCACAGATGCATACCCGGGAGAACAACACTAGCTAGTGAACAACTCACTCAGCCACACGCACACATGCCTACACACACACACACACACACACAAACCGGAACTCATCGCATAGCTGCCTTGGCCTGCCTTCCTCTCTCTCGGACAACACACACCTGTGTCGTTCAGTTTTGTTTGTTGTGCTGGTGTTCGTTGTCGTCTGCCGACGACTCGTCATCCTCTATGCCCACGCCAGGGGCCGTCTCCTCGTCGATCTTGCGCCGCTGCACCATTGGAGGCACCAACACACTCGTCACCTCATAGCTGACAGCACATCACATCAACGCATACAGAGGGAGGGAGCGGAGACATGGTAAGAGAAAGTGACCACCAGACAGAACAGACACCTTGCAGGCGGTTCTGTCACATGCAGCTGAGCCAATTTCTCCATAGCTTCAGGCAGGTCCGGGGAGAGAGGCGACTCCTCGCCTCTCTTGCGCGGTGGATGATAGATCAGATCACTGTCCTGCTGCTGGCTGTCAGCACCACCGGGGGTGTAGATGACCTGATCTTGATCATACTGCCTGGCTGACGTCCCCCTGAAGGCAGGTTTGGCTGTCTTGGCACGCAGCGAGGCATTGAGGCTGTTGCGGCTGCTGGTTGCGCCGCCACGGCTGCCGAGAGACCGCTCCAGGTCCTCCAGGATGGAGTGAGACACCACACGGCTATTCTGGAGCCTCTGCAGGCACGTCCCTGCACACACAGGCAAGCACAGGGAAGAGCAAGGGATGGACCTGGCACCGCACCCAGTGGTACCTTCTGTTGCTTCGAGCTCGGGCAGTTGCGCCTCCAAAGCCATGACTTCCGCGAAGAGAGCCCTCTCCCTTTCTTCCTGGTCGCCCTTGAGCTCCTGAAGGCGGCGGGCCCGCTCACCGTCGATGCGCTTTTTCGCCAGCAGCCTCTCGCGGTGCACGACCATCGCACGATTGGAGTTGCGAAGATTTGTGTCGGCCTCCATCATCTTCTTCTGTCTCAGGTAATCCTGGCTCTCGGCGCGTGTGTTTTCTGCACTCTGCTGCTTGGACTTGATGAACTCGTAGCTCGCCATCTGCCTGCTGCTGCTGTGAGACATCCGCTGCTGCGCCGCCTTGTCTTTGTTGGCACAAACCTCGCTCTCTTTGTAGTGCGAAATGGCCTTGTCGGCCATCTTTTTCTCTGCAGTCAACACAAAGCCACTTCTGCGATGAAACCCGCCCATTGCAAAGCAGGGTTCTTCTCACCGAGTGTGCGGGCCCTGCCATCCTCAATCCTGGATGCGTGCCTCCTGACCTCGTCCAGGTCTCGCCAGATCTTTTCCTCTTCTCGCTTGAAGTAAGAAATGCGGTTCTGCACATGACAAGAAGGGATACGGCCGCATTCATGCCGAGGGTCTTGTGGACCTTCTGACCTTGAGGGCTTTGGAATTCTGTTCGAGCTGCTTCTTGCGTCGAAGGGCTTCGTGGAAGGTCAGGGGCCTGTGGGTGCCAATCGAAATGGGATCTTGCTGATGTTCAGCCATCGCGAAAGGCCCTTTGATGATTGGAGCTCGCCTTCTGCTTTTTCCTTCGCTCACGGAGCGGCTACGGCCGGAAACGGGAGAGCCCGCGAGCTCGAAGCCGTCTCAGACTGGGGGCGTGTCGTGGGTTGCATGCACATCCCGCTGATCCTCCGCAGGTTCATCATGTCGTTGAGTGCAACAGATGCTGAACATCTGTACAAGGCCGTCCATAAGGCTGTGCCGAAGGGGTCCCGGCCGGTGTCCGACGAGAGCCCCAAGGCCAAGGCCATGGCGCCCTCAGGCAGACGCATCGATTTCGCGTCAAGTGAGGGAAAGGAGCAGGACGCGGAGCCAGCGGGGGCCCAGGAACGCAAGATACGTAACGGTGTGGGATCGAGAAAGCCTCTGACACTGAGTGAAGAGACTCAGGGAGATTCGCGTCGGCACTTCCAGACAGCCAAGTAATCACTCACGAAACAGGAAGATCTCGCTGGCACAAGTGCTCGGTGTGTGTCATTTCCTTCAGGGGCCGCAGCGGGGCTGGCAGCCAGATGCCCAGTGGCTGGAGATATCACTCGACGGGAGAGCAGCGCGGCCCTCTCAGCCGACATCAAAGCGTGGCTGTCATCTCTTTGGAATCGTTCAGGTACGTAGACTCCCGAAGCATTGTGTCAGGGAGCTGCGAGCAGACACACACAACCGAGATCCGGGGATCTTTTTGCAGGAGAGACCCAACGCGCGCCGGCATCCGGACGAGAAATCGCCCTCACATGCAGCTGGCGCCTTCGGCGCCTGGGGCCCCTGCAAGTAGGCCGACGAGGCCGGGGCAGGGACACAGAGTGGACTGTCACTTTATGCCTCTGTGTCTTGCAGCCCCCCATTCCTACACTGATGGCTGGAGACAAAGTAGGAAGAAGAGAGAGCTGGCTCCAATCCAATCACACGCTCTATGTCTCTCTTCTTTGTGTCGGCAGCTTTTCGTTCGAGTGACTATTCGCATCTGCATACGCTTACAGATCCCATCACGGGCAGATGTGAGACCAGCACATCAACTCTCTGAAACGTTAAGGTGCGTCTGCGAAATCTGTATAGATGGCGTGCCGTCGTCTCCTCGTGGCATTCGGGTCACTTCACCGGCGATTTCGGTAAACACGATGGCGGCACGATGGCCCTTTTGTCATTCTCCGTCGCTCAGGATGAGTACATACGGATGACGAACAAGAGGTTGCTGCTGCCGTCACAGAGGGGGACGCCGCGATCACGTAAGTGCACACACGGACAGTCTCACTCGGCTTGGGCGCCCATTTGTGAGCATTGGCGCATCAGGGAGTCCGCATCTACGGGAGACACTTCACGACGAACCCCCGCAGCACAGAACGAGTAGCGAATGTCACCACATGCGAGAAGCGTGCATGACATGTCTCTCCGAAATGATTGCATGATGTAGGCATCCGAACATTCTCCCCAACCGCCTCCGGACCAGGAGATAAGATGGCTGCCACCCTGGTCACGAACGTCGTGCCGTCCATGAGCGACACGCCCCGATCGTCCATTCTGCCGTTCGACGAAGACAACAATTTTGCGCGTGCCACATACGGCATCTACATGAACATCAGCACACACCAATACGGACAGATCTTCCGGTACGTGAAGGGGTGCATGTCAGCTTGTATGTATGTGTCTGCCTTGGATGCTCTTGCGTGCCATAGGTCTCGCGGCCTCAGCAGTGATCCATCGTGGTACATGCATGATCGTGACGGAGTTGACTTCAGACGCAAAGTGCCGCCATGACTGAGTGATCGCTTGAACGGACCACGATTGGCCATTGAGCACTCAGCACATACATGAACCACACACACAGCCGTCACTTGATGACGTTGCCGCAGCATGGATGGATACATGGATGCATTTTGTCTGTGTGGGGTGCTTTCGTGGGTGGATGGTATGCCATCGATCACAGCTCTGTTTCGTGTCCCTTCGCCTTCGACTCCACACTCAGCAACGTCACCTGCGCACAACAACAGACAGAGACATACATGCACACACACCTCCCCCCCTCCCTCCCTCCCTCCCTCTCTCCGTCTGTGTGGCGGCTGGCTGGTTGGCTGACCGTGTATGTGATTTCGAAGCGTTGTGTGAGGGGAATGCTGGCTCGTCGCGTCTCGCCCACTGACATGCCTATCAGGCACTTGCTGAGCGGCGTCACATTGTGTTGACCGACCTTCACTCTCTCCTGCACGGACTCGCCTGCACACACACACACACACACACACAGAGTCTTGTTATCTGGATGTCGCCGTGCGTGTGTGCGTTTGCGTGTTTGTGTGTGCCGTGCAGTGCAGTGCCAACAATGACGTGAGAGTGAGCAGAGAGGGGGGGTTTACGTCTGCATGTGTGTGTGGGGTGGGTGCATTGCGCAAGGCGACCTGAACCAATTAATATTGTGCCTGCCCGTTGACAAATGACTGACATAAGTCTCTCTGTCTGTCTGTCTGTCTGTCTGTCGGCATCATGTCCGTCACATCACCACGCCCATCAAGGCACCCATGCCATGCCTGTCCGTGTCTCTCTGTTCCCGTTTCTCTCGCGCCACTTCACCTTCTCACACGCCACGCACCTGTCAAGCTCATCGATCGAGCACCGGACAAGGCCATGCCATGCCGTACATGTGTGGAGCGAAGGCACACGAGAGGAAGGGAAGCGCCGACACACAGGCACAATGAATGGCCTCTCTACTGTCTCCGTCTCGCCATTTCCGCTGAGCGTCTCGCGGCCGACGGCAGCTTTGCACTCTTCTAGTTAGTGGGAGAGTCAAAAGCGCTGTCTGCAGCGAGAGAGACAGCAAAAACGGCAACGGACAGAGTCAAAGGGACGAACCGAACGTCATGTCAGCACACATTGCATCGCGTCTCTCGCCATATTTCTGACGTACACACACGTATGCACGCACACCCACGGACACGCACTCACACACACGCCGATACATAGACCCTCATACATATTGAATGGAACAAAAGTGACTCCATACATATACAGCCCGCTGGCTGCCTGTACACGAGACAAATCACGAACATCACCTACCTAGCCATCCTACCCACTATTCAGCCCCCCCCCCCCTCCATTTAGGCACTCCCATGCATCTCTGCTATGCCATGCAGCTATATACACGTGTGTGTAACAAAGGTACGGGTCCGTCTCTTGTTTATTGTATGACACAGCACTTGTTCTGCTTGTCGGGACCGGGGGCCTGTGCGGGGGGCGGTGGGGCGGTGGCTAGGCCGGCCTGCCCACCCGGCATGTGAGTCACCATCACCACAGAACCCGCACCACCTCCACCCAGCTGCACACACCACGTCGTCACGTCACTCAGTGCATGAACAGGCCGACTGCTCTGCATGGGCACGTGGCACGTACCTGTGTTGGCATGGCGACGATGCCTGGGTTCTGTTGGTGGAGTTCCATGGTGTGGCCGCGCTGGTAGAGGTTGCGCGTCTCGACGCTCAGCAGCCGCTGCATCTCGGGGAGACAGTCCTTGTACAAACGACCTGGCCGATGGGAAAATAAGAAGGGTCGAACTGCCGTGTCATGACGAGTGGACTGGCGTACATACCGTTAGCAGGCACGCCGAGGGCATGAAATCCCCATCGATTGGTCTTGTCGCGCTGCAGACGGGCGATGATCAGACCGCTCGACATGCCCGCGTCACTCAGCTACAGACAGACACACACGCACAACCACACGCATAGATTGATGTGCAGTGCAAGGACGTGTGTCTTGTCTAGGGGAAGGCAAAATGTGTGTGTGCATGTACCCACCTGGTATCTGCAGTACTCGTCTCCCGTGTTGGGGTCGACAACACGCGCATACGGGTTGGCCACTTGCTGCATCGCATCAACGCCCGCCGACAGACGTGCACATACAAGAGGCGATGGTATATATGGCGTGGTGGTTGCTCGCTTCGCTACCCACCCTGAATGTTCTGTTGGGCGAATATATGTTGATGCAGAAGTACAGGCAGGCCACCTCTGGCCCCACACGATCCAGATAACACGTTATCTACACACACCACACGCCATTGTGAGACCTTTCTGTCTGCGAGCCGATGTATGTTATGTGTGCATGGCATCGATACCTGCTCGTCGTCTCCCTCTCCCTCGCCCGTCAGGTTGTCGCCGCTATGAATGATGCCGTGTCTCTTGGATTCCAGGTTGCCGAAGAAGACGCTCTCGATCATCTGCCCATTCTTGTCCAGGAGGACGCATGACGCATCCAGGTCGACCTCACCCATCGTCGTGTCCCACCCCAGGGCACTGAGTGCACACGCCAGACAGACAGACAGACAGACACACGGGTGTATATGTTTCGAAGCGTCCAGGCAGTGTCTGTGTGTGAGTGGTGCTGCACCAGATGACCGCAGACTGACTGGACGCGAAGTCAAATACATTGCCTGTTTGACACACGAGCACAAGAAGAATCGATCAGCTAGCTGAGGAAGGACACGACACAGTTCTTCCTTCCGTGCGGCTCGGCTGTGCTGCTGACTGCCTGACTGACCCTTTCTCATGCTGAAGGCGAGTTTCTGTCGCTTGGGTGCTGTGGGGATGAAGATGCGGATGGTTTCCTGGATGGGGTTGAGTATGTCCATGAAGTGGGCGCCCTGCAAGACTTGGTCGATGGTCCTGACCTTCCACTGCCCTGCCGCGTTGTGTCGGTGCATCACGCACAGGATGTCCGCCGTGTGGTTGCCCTTGTCGCTCAACTTGTACTGGACCAACCAAGAAAGGACGACGCGATATGAATGCATCGACCATGCTCACCCTCCGGCGACCCTCCCTCACCTGTGCTAGTGTTGGCTTGGTCCCGGTGGCGGAATACGTCGCCTCGTCAACGACGCGGAACATGCCCTGCAGCACGTTCGCAAAGGTGCCTGCGACAACACACACACACACACACACACACACACCGAAATAGATGCACCCACACGGCCTGTGTGTTTGATTGATCTGACCGTCTGTCTGACCACTGACTGACCTCCGGAGAAGCAGCATACGACGAATACGAGCAGCGAGACGTCCTGCCCGAGTCTGTCGAGGTGAACGGTGATCTTCTCGTCCACATCGGGGTCCTTGCCGTCGAGCGAGTCACCGCTGTGCACACAGCGATACGCAATGGTTTCAGTTGGTTTTCAGGACATCACCACGAAGGTTACCTGTGTGTGATGGCGCGACCCAACGCCTTCATGTTGTTGTAGTAGCACGCATCACATATGTGACCGGCCGAGTTCACCACCTGCACACCCCCACACACACCCCGATGCATCCATCCATCCCCCCATCCACCCTGCAGGCCAGGCAGAGAGACTCCTGTCCTGTCGGTGTCGTGTTGTGTTGTGCTCACCACGCACTGGATGTCCATGTCCACCTGCACGGCATGGACACCAACAACAAACAGGATTGGGATGCCAACACGGGTGAGTGGGGGTGTCTATGCCACACGACACGTACCTCCTTGACGCCAGCCAGGAACTCCCATGAGAGACAGAAGGCGAGGCGCTTGACCTCCGTGGCGACGGGGAAGTCCTCACTGCGTGTGAGCCGTCTGCCATGCAACGCCATCTCATCGCTGGAGTATGCCGGAGGCGATGCCATCTGATCTGGGGGATGACCACTCGCAACACTCGCACCCGACGTTGCCGAGAAGAAGGACGTCAGTTTCTGTCCGCTCAGCGGGGTTGCTGGTGTTCTGTGTCCTTTGTTGGTAGCGTGTTGTTGTCTTTGCTGATGCTGTTGTTGTACATGTGCTGTTTGTGTTTGTGTTTTGGTTTTGTCTAGGGTACACTTGCAGGGTAAGGGTTTCGATGTTCTGTCGCCGATCAGGGTGTCTGTGTCGTTCTGCCACGGCTGCACCGATGACAGCCTGAGGGGGATGCCAGGGGCCACAGGTCTACAGTCTTAGCGTCTTTCGCTGCATGCATCGTGACCGCTGGGGGCGCCCCCCATTGCAGGCCTAGTGGACTTGGCCTAGTGAACTTGAAAAGCGAAGAATGATACCGTCTCCCGAGCGTCCGTCGTCGTCTGTTGAGGCGGTGGGAGGCAGCCCTGCTGGTGCATCCCCCGTAACACCATACTACACACCAAGTCAGACACAACAAACCACCTCCGAGTCGGCCCCTCAGGGTCATCTCATTTCTCATGTCTCTGTTGTCTGTGTAGCTGCAGCAGGAGTGTCGCCCACGACGAGTGACCCGCAGAATGTCACTGCCACGAGCCTCTACCTGCCGCCGGCTCCAGCCCCTTCGCCCGCCTACGGCCAGGCAATCATGATGCCAGGGGCTGCATCCTACTACACGCCGGTGGGTGTGGGGGGCTCGCCGCAGTCACCCCACTTCGTGGCAAGGACACAGCAGCCGAAGCTCAAGAAGCGCTCCTGCCCCTGGTGCTGCTGCTGATCATAAATGGTGGAATTGAGCTGAATGCATTGTGTGCTCTGAGGCATTTGTGGCTTGCGGCCATATGGCATACATATGCCTGGCTGGTGGAGGGATGCATCGCCTGCAGGTGTGAGTGGGGTCCGGGAGGGGGAGCCTGTGTGTCTGAGTGAGTGAGTGAGTGAGTGAGTGAGAGCTCTCGACGTACGTCTTTGATGGACGTACGTATTCATGGAGGACGGACGGACAGGGAAAGACTCAGAGGTACACATAGAAACGTATGTGTCGGCTGGCTGGCTGGCTGACGGACTGTCCGTCTATGTGTCCGTCTATGTGCGATCTCTCTCTATGGGTACGTACGGTGCACACATACGTACGTACGTACAACACCTCTGTGCCACACACGACAGGCCACGTCACGCCACAAACGCGCACGTACTGGATAAATATACACACACACGTGCAGTGAGTGCACGAGCATAGCTTCCCGCCCTCTCACTGAATTGTCCATCCGCCTGAAACACACATATAACCAGACAGGACAGGACAAGCACACCTGACCTGATGCAATGCATTCAACGCAATGAGTCCGTCCGCATGGCGGCTGGCTGGCTGGCTGCAGTCATTGAATGCATTAGCCGACCCACTTACCGTCGATCACTTGTGAGGCGCCGGTGATACAGGTAGCCGCCTCGGAGCACAGAAACGCGACATACTCACCTGACACCACAAACCAATACAGAGAGGTCACATGCCACGCCCATAAACCCGGCCATCCTCTCTCTCGTCCCGTCCCGTCCCGTGCTAACTAACCAACTAACTCACCGACGTGTCTTGCCGGGGTGAACATCTTGTTGGGGTGCTTTGCCGACACGAGCTTCGTTTCGGCCTCTTCGATTGAGATGCCCTTGTCTTGGCTCAGCCGGACCACCTGCTTGTGCACGAGGTCCGTGTTGACCCACCCCGGGCACACGGCATTGACAGTTACACCCGTCTCCGCCATCTCAAGCGCGGCTGCCTTGGTCAGACCCAACACACCTGACACGCACTCATCCAGCCATATATCTCCAGGGGTGTGTGTGTGTGTGTGTGGTCCCGCACACCGACCATACCATGTTTGGCGGCACAGTAGGCCGTCTTGTTTGGCGACGCCACCAGGCCATGGGCAGATGAGATGTTGATCAACCTGAATGAATCACCACATCAAGACACACACTACACACACAGACGGGCCGGCCACACGAGTGCCGTGCCTACCTGCCGTATACGGATGTCTTTTGTTCGGCGCTGAGGTCCCTCCAGTGTCTGAGTGCACTCTGCATGGTGAGGAAGGGTGCCGTCAGGTGGAGGGCCATCAGCTGCTGCCACTTGTCTAGAGGGAAGTCCACCAGCGGACTCGTGTGCTGCAGCCCGGCATTGTTGACAACGATGTCCAAGCCACCCAGAGTCTTCAAATATTACACACACACATGGTATGGACAGCAACAAAACGAAGGAGGGAGCGATAGATATGGATGGGATGAGTGCGCATCTTTCCCCCCCCACCTCGATGGTCTGTTTGATGAGAGCCGGCGGCCCCTCTGGCGTCGAAAGATCTGCCTGGATGTAATGAAGTCTGCACAAACGCACAAACACACACGCACAGCAAGGAGGTCAGGTCGGTCATCCAACCCACCATCATGCAACCAACAGTGATCATGTCATGCCGTCTGCTCACTCTGCCGCTGGGAAGTCTTTTTTCAGCGTCGCAACCACAGCCTCCTGCAGTGCAGTGACCACTCACACACACCCGCATCAACAGACAGAAGCCATGGATGATGTGCACCACCCTCCTGTCTGCTCACCGCAGCCTCTCTCGGCCTCGATCCCGAGATGACCACTCGGCAGCCGTGGTCACAAAGCGCCTCAGCGATGCCGAGGCCGATGCCTGCAACACACAGACAGACAGACAGGCATCATACCATGAGTGTGTGCTGTCCCTTCGATCTTTCATGTGTGCGTCATTCGTACCAGCAGTGCTGCCAGTGATGACTGCCCGCTTCCCGCGGAGGGATAGCAGCGATTTGGCGGCGCCGTTGGCCGACATGGTGCTGATGGGGAAAGGAGCCGTGGGTGGGATGGATACAAGGTGAAGCAGGGCTAGGCAGATCTCACGCCTCATCCATACCCATAGTCATCTCTGCGCATCGTTCGGTTGGCCGGAGAGATCGTTTGCGCTTCTCTCTCTCGGCTAAGCTCGCCGTGCTGCGAGGAGGGAGGGGAGTGGGTTGGATTCTTGGGCCCGTACGTATGGTGGTGTGCTCTGATGCTGCCACAGGAAAAGGACAAAGGTCAACGCACTTTCACGACCCCCCCAAAAGCACCCAGCTGGGGGGAGTGCTCTAGGCTACTTTTTTTCCGCCCGTTGGTTCGTCGGATCGGTTCTTTCGGGGTTGCCAATCGACCCAATGAATCAACCGAAAAAAACGCACACGGAAAAGACGCCAGGAAAGCGCATGCAGCCCCCACCCTTCAAAATCAGTCCCAGTGTGAAGGCCCCTCACGCACAACGGCGAACAGAGCTCGGGTGAGAAACACACCCACGCCGCCTCGTCATTGGCTCCTCTGAAGGGCAAGGCACCGTGCTGACGGGGACATTGCTGCAATTGCATTGCTGTCGGGGCGGCTGGAGGTCGGCCAGAACATCGTCATCTACCCACACGCAGTGCAGACGCGCATCAGGACCATTCAAGTGCCAAGATGGGGCAAGGAGGTGTCTTCTGATGGGTGAGTGATTGTGTTTTGTGTGTACGTGTTCGGAGTTTCAAATAGGACCTCGCTAGTGCGTCGCAGACCGTGTGTCCATCTGTGCCCCGGCAATCGGAGGCGAGGAGCTGACGGACGGTCGGTCGGTCACTGCCTAAGGTGCGAGACGGTGTGTTTCATGGCCAATCGGCGTGCATATGAGACAGACGTTCCAAGAAACATTCACGGGCGAACAGAAAACAACAGAGGACCCAGACGAACATGTAGAAGAGAACACAGACAACACTATGACAGATATGTACGAAAACACGCAAAGACACGCAACAGAAACCATCGATTGTCAACAGGCCAAGACACCGAAGCATCTGGAC